TCTAGGGCAGGGTTGGTGCCAGAGCCCAAGTTTGTAGCTCACAAGATGAGGGGGGTACTTGTGCCTCCTCCCATGGGAGACTTAGGTCTCAGACACTCCCTAGACAGGGAGCCAGTGCCGGGCCACCACTTGGAAGGGCCCGGGCTGGGAGAATACCGGCGAATCTTTAACAACAACTTCAACTCCATATTGTTTCAGACTATGGAACAATGCTCTTCTCCAGACTGAGGGACTGACCACCTCAAAGCTTCAAGGGTGATGGACTGATTACATCGTCTTCAAGTCTCTTCTGCTTCTATCAACTTTTCTGTACTCGACTGAAGAAGCCTACTGTGTAGGCGAAACGTTTCGAAATAAAGATACCTAACTGTTGCATATGTGTCTTACCTAACAACCTGTCGGTATTTTATACCATTTTAATGTTCAATCTGTCAGACACTGCAACACAAGGGTATCTTGGTACAGACCTGAAATCAACTTCGGCAACCTCTACTAGTGAGAACGGCTGGATTTGAGAGGGACATGACCTCCCAACATCTACGTTCTTGCCTCTACTAGTGACCTACGTCTCACCTCCTGGCGCTATATAAGGCTCCATCCTGTCACTTCAACTCCATATTGTTTCAGACTATAGAACAATGCTCTTCTCCAGACTGAGGGACTGACCACCTCAAAACTTCAAGGGTGATGGACTGATTACATCGTCTTCAAGTCTCTTCTGCTTCTATCAACTTTTCTGTACTCGACTGAAGAAGCCTACTGTGTAGGCGAAACGTTTCGAAATAAAGATACCTAACTGTTGCATATGTGTCTTGCCTAACAACTAGTAGTAGTAGTAGTGGTGATATAAGTTCTAGTAGTAGTAGTAGTAATACAATATGGTAGAACAATTAACTTGCACATGAGTAAAAGGATATAAAAGCTATTACTTGGGTAACATAAAATTAGGTTTGACAAGTATTTCTATAGGAGGCTGGATAGAGAAGGCCTGTTTCAGTGTTCATTCTCTGTAATATGCTTGTGTAGTAGGAGAGACTATGTGATGGCAGGGTTTACTGTTTTCAGGAGGATTTTTGCTATGACTTCAGAGATGGTGAAGCTGCCTTTGTTTTGTTTAATCGTATTAGAAACAGCGATTATGATGATTCAAGGCACTTGCGTCTGCGGAAATTAGTTTCTTTGATCACTAATTGGGCGTCCCTGAACTTCATGAGATGATTGGTCGAATTTCGGTGTTGTACACAAGCGTTGTTCAAGTTATCGTTCCTACATGCGTAAATGTGTTCATTGAGGCGGTGTCGAGGTTTCTTGCTGTTTCACCTATATAAATCTTGTCGCAGCCTCCACAATGTATAGTGTAAACCCCTGCGTTGACTGGTTGGTGGTGTTTTGAATTGTGTTGGTTAGATCCTTTATTGAAGTGCTGGAAGCGATGGCGACTCTGGTGTTAGCTTGTGGAAGTACTTTAGAAACGTTCAGTGCTACCTGGCTGTTGGGAAGAATTATAACTTTGTTTAGGAGTGGTGATGGTGCGTGGAGAATTAATGATCTGAAGAGCTGTTTTCTTGCAGTCTTTGATAAAAAAGGAAGGAAAATGTAAATCGGTGAAGGTTTGGTGAATGTCTGTACATTCCTCGTCAAGAAACTCAGGACTACAAATTCGGTACGCTCTTAGGAAAAATCTGATGATGATGCCTCTTTTGGACTTAGTATTTTGACTGGAATAGAAGTGTGTGAGATCATTTTTATTTGTAGGTTTCCGGTAAACTTGAAATCTTAGGTTGTTATCTACTTTGTGAATGAGGACGATCTAGTGTAAACTGGATCGCCGGTTCAACTGCGTTGAGCCTTGCCTGAAGATCCCGTACATCAAAACGTTTAGGAGTTATTACGAGGACGTCGTCCACGTAACGTAACCAAGTGACGCTTGAAGGGATGATGTTGGCGAAGTGTTCGGACTCTAGGTGTTCCATGTACAAATTGGCTAAGACGGCACTGATGGGGGACCCCATCCCCATGCCGTAGGTTTGTTTGTAGGGCCTGTTATTGAAAGAAAAACAGTTGAAATTAACACAGAGTTCAATCAAGCCAACAAAATCTCCGGGAGGTAGAGGAAGATTAAGGTTCTGATTGGCTTTACGTCGTAGAACCTCGATGGCTTTTGTGGTAGGTACTTTAGTGAAGAGAGAAGTCACGTCCAAACTGCTTAGTTTCTTGTTACGAATGGAGAGGTTTCAGATGCGGTTGAGAAGGTCGCCTGAATGCTTAAGATGAGCGGGGTAGATGGTTCCCAGAAGGCAGGAAAGATGTTTGGCAAGAACTCCGGCTAGTTTGTGTGGTGCACTGCCTATACCTGACGTGATTGGTCTGAGAGGAATATTATGTTTATGGGGTCTTGGGTAAACCATACATGTGTGCTGGTTTAGGATTGCTGGATAACAAGTACAGAAGTTTCTTCCATTCTCTAGTGCGCTTGAGGAGTGAACTGTTCTTGAACGAGTGAACTGTTCTTGAACGAGTGAACTGTTCTTGAACGAGTGAACTGTTCTTGAACGAGTGAACTGTTCTTGAACGAGTGAACTGTTCTTGAACGAGTGAACTGTTCTTGAACGAGTGAACTGTTCTTGAACGAGTGAACTGTTCTTGAACGAGTGAACTGTTCTTGAACGAGTGAACATTTCTTGAACGAGTGAACTGTTCTTGAACGAGTGAACTGTTCTTGAACGAGTGAACTGTTCTTGAACGAGTGAACTGTTCTTGAATGAGTGAACTGTTCTTGAACGAGTGAACTGTTCTTGAACGAGTGAACTGTTCTTGAACGAGTGAACTGTTCTTGAACGAGTGAACCATTCTTGAACGAGTGAACTGTTCTTGAATGAGTGAACTATTCTTGAACGAGTGAACTGTTCTTGAACGAGTGAACTGTTCTTGAACGAGTGAACTGTTCTTGAACGAGTGAACTGTTCTTGAACGAGTGAACTGTTCTTGAACGAGTGAACTGTTCTTGAACGAGTGAACTGTTCTTGAACGAGTGAACTGTTCTTGAACGAGTGAACTGTTCTTGAACGAGTGAACCATTCTTGAACGAGTGAACTGTTCTTGAATGAGTGAACTATTCTTGAACGAGTGAACTGTTCTTGAACGAGTGAACTGTTCTTGAACGAGTGAACTGTTCTTGAACGAGTGAACTATTCTTGAACGAGTGAACTGTTCTTGAACGAGTGAACTATTCTTGAAGGAGTAAACTATTCTTGAAGAAGTAAACTATTCTTGAAGGAGTGTACTATTCTTGAAGGAGTGTACTATTCTTTCATGAAGGAACTATTCTTTCTTTTTTAATTCTTTTCGTATCACAATTATATTTATTTAATAAAGTTGGAAAAAATAAAAATCATCAAATGGACTGCTGAGAATTTTTGAATTTGCTGTGACTAGTAAAAATTACTATATATTTTTTTTAAACGCTAAACCCGGAGGAGAATGGTGGGCAATAAGGTTCATCCCAAGAAAGAAGGAGGGTATCGATCCCATTCCTTGGATCAAGAGCCCACATAGTCTTCAAGGCACCTCGAATGAAAAAAAAAAATCTGGAACATATGTGGGTAGCCTCTCTTAACAGAGCTGATCTCGGGTATTGGTGAACAAACACAACAAAATGCTTGATTAGTAGCGCACTCAGCTCACACACTGAGGTCCGGGGTTCGATCCCCGATACGGCAGAAAACATTACGACGTGTTTCCTTAAGACACCTGCTGTCCATGTTCACCCATCAGTAGGTACCTGGGTGTTAGTCGACTGGTGTGGGTCGCATCCTGAGAACAAAATTGACCTAATTTGCTGTTGGCCTACTGCTTCATGCTAGTAGTGAACCCTTACAGGTTTACCACTTCACAAATAGTAATTGTGGAAAATTGCATTTAGCTGAATGTATCATTATGTACATAACAGTAAATGAACAGATAATTATTATTTATCAGTTAGACAAGTAGGAATTTGGGACACCTAGGTCGCAAAAAATGTCCCCATTCGATACCTACCACTGTCATAACCACAAGTTGCTCTGGACTATTAATTAAATGAAATATACATACACCAGGAATACTGGTAAATATATAAATTTGTGGACTGTATATTAAAAAATGATTATATATAATTCACATATACATAACAGAAGGAAAATATATCTTAATATCACTCACCAATTTGACTGGATATTAAGTTGTATCATACTCAGAAAAACCTCACTAACTAAATTTATGAAAACACTGGCCAGAATTATACACAAATCTAGAGAGCTTATCTGAGGTTCCTGGAGCTGTCTTGTCCAGTCGTCTGATATCTCAAGTTATGCAGGAATGCACATCCAACAATTTCGCCTCCTATTTGAGAGATGTCAATCCAATTTTAACCTCTAGAGCACGAAAAATTCTTCCCATTACACCAACGTTTGTACAAAATTCAAGACCAAGATGGCGAGTCTCGTCTGCGCAGACGCAGGCTTTCCGTTTTCTATGACATAAATATTATTAAATACAGTATGGCCATCTATTTACATATAAATACTGAATTTCTGGAAAATATATACAGTATTTTCCAGTAATAATAATAATAATAATAATAATAATAATAATAATAATAATAATAATAATAATAATAATAATAAAATATTAAAAATAAATACAAGTAATAATGATAATACAATAATAATAATAATTATAATAATAATAATAATAATAATAATAATAATAATAATAATAATAATAATAATAATAATAATAATAATAATAATAATAACAGTGAGTGTAAACAAGACACTAGGCAAAACACCTTATTAAAATAAGAGCTGCAAACATATTATTATTTCTCAGTTAATTGTAAATATTTAAATAATCAATTAGATTTTTTAAATTTAGAAAAAACATGCTTGTTATAAATTATATATAATCGTCGGCTTTAATTATAAATTTATCGGAGGAAATAATTGTAAAGATGCAACGCCATGATCTTGCATCAATTGAGTCAAAATCTGAAGGGTAAAATTGGTGGAACTTTCTCCCTCAGCGGCGTCCAGAGGAGTCATAGAGCAGTGCCAGGGAGTGCCATGGACCAGGTGGAGAGTTCCAAGAAGGCAGCTGCCTATAAGGCAGTTGACAACCACGTCAAGGTCAGAAATGGTCGTGTTTTTACGATGCATTTCCATGCCTGGCTTGATCCTAGGAGTTGGAATCTGGACATTTCTTCATTGTCCAACTTCTTGATTCTAGGAGTTGGAGCTATATACCCTCTCCTTTCCCTTAGGGGAAACTCTTTAATTCTGATAATTAACTCTTGATCCAAGGAATTGGACCTACCCTCTCCTTTGGGTTGAACCTAATTGTTTCCCATTACCAAGGTGCTGTGTGATCCGTATGGGTTTAGCACTTTCCCCTAAATGTAATATTTGGGCTGGATGATCCATATGGGTTTAGCGTCTGTATCTTAAGATACCTTTCCGCTGATCATACATCATTATTTCTCCATTCCATCAGCAATGTCCGACCCTTCCAGGTTTATTGCCCCTCAAGGAAGCTTCCTTGATGTTGGTGAGGGGCTCTTGATTTAGGAAATTGGATCTGTGCTCCAGTTCCCCAAATTAAGCAGCGCTGTATAGTCCTTGTGGCTTAGCGCTTCTTTTTGATTATAATAATAATAATAATCCCCAAATTAAGCCTGAATGCCTTCCACATCCCCCCCCCAGGCACTGTATAATCCTCCGGGTTTAGCACTTCCCCCTTGATTATAATAATAATAATCCAGGTTTATTGTTCTCATAAATGATACTAATCATCATTGTCCATATGTTAGATTACAAATAATAATGTAATAATAATCTTTATTTCTGCAAGTACATGATACAACTTCCTCTCAAGGAAGGTTCCTTGATGCTGTTGAGGGGCTCTTGATCTAGGGAATTAGATCAGTGCTCCAGTTCCCTGAATTAAGCCTGAATGCCTTCCATATTCCCCCCACAGGCGCTGTATAATCCTACAGGTTTAGCGCTTCCCCTTGATTTTAATAATAATGATACAACTTATACAGACCATAGCTGACATCAGTGACATACTACTATACAATTGAAAGCCGCTTGTTATGCAGAGCATTTTCTGCTAATTAGGTCGGCTTTGTCCCCAGGATGTGACCCACACCAGTCCACTAACACCCAGGTACCTACTTACTGCTAGGTGAATATGGACAGCAGGTGTCTAAAGGAGAAATGTCCTAATCTTTCCGCCTGTACTGGGAATTGAACCACGGACCTTAGTGTGTGAGCTGAGTGCTCTAGCACTTAAGCTTTCATAGTAATGTATATGTAAACTGCCAAGGGTAACCTAAAAGTCATACTAAGTGGCTTATTTCCATTTAGTTCCATTGGCTTTATCAGTCCAGTACAGAAATAGAAATGAGAGTATATATGGTAATGAGTCAGGTGAGGTGGTGCAGGTTGGAGGACAGAGCTACATGATGGTTGTGTTCTGCTAGGGTAGGATGTATTGGGCAAGTATTTCCCACATCATTAAACTGCCTGTGTTTTGAGTAATTGTGTTGGTAGTAACAACAATTCTAAATAGCATCTGTGATGTAGGTTTGATTCTGGCCTTTTGAAAGATTATGAGATGATTGTGGGTATTGTAGTGTATGGTGTTGGCCCAAGGAATAACTAGACCAACACATCATGTTACTAAATGTCCTAGTTACTGCATGTCTTAGTGTTCACATGTGCTATGAGGATGTTTTTTTTTTTGATCAGCATTATACAAAGTTCTTTCAGCACATATAAGTAAATTTAATATTTTTTATCTAGCTGTTCAAACAACCTCAGAGAAATCTAAGCATTTTTCCTTGAATCCTTTTCATTTACTTCTAATGCTCTAGGGCCCCACATTTGCACCTAGAGAAGGGTCCCATCAGTATATATTGCACGATATAAAACCAATGTAAAAGTTTGAAATTATACATGACACCAGAATAAACAATTAGCATATTTTGAATATATATATATCCCTGTAGTAAATATATGATTTATGATGACTTAACCTAAGATAATATATTTTTACGTATTTCTTTTAGGATGCTTACCGAGTTGGGATTGGCAGTGGGTCCACTGTTGTTTATGCAGTTGAAAGACTTGGTAAGTACGTACTGTATATACAATATATATATTGCTTTTTTTTACTATTTTTATTCCAAACTTAAATTTATTATGATGACATAGAAGTTGTGGAACAGGTTTTTATTAAGACAATATTTTGCAGAGTCTTAAATGTATATTGTATGACTTCATAAAGCTCTTCTCTGAAAGGAACATTGTACCAATGGAAGGTTGGTCTGAAACTTGAGTCTGTTTTCATACTTGTTGACAGTAATTCATTTCATCCATATATTTCTTTCCTCTGTTTATTTTAAATTATTAATGAGGCTCTGATACTTCAAATTCTTCATGGTAAAAGGACAGTGTGGTAATTACTTGGTATATTTACATATAATAAAGATAGTGCGGTAATTACTAGGTATATTTATATATAATATTGTTTCTATTTTTGCCGAGTATTGCCATATAATAAATTGTTTCATTATTTATCAAACATTAGACAGTCAAATTCAGTGACTCCATCTTTGTATGTATCATGTAAACATTCTAAAGTATTGGTTTCTTTCCTTCATTAGTGTAGCCTTAAGTCAGTCTTTGCCTGTACTATTGTCACTTTTTATTTCTGCTTTGTTGTATATGCTCTCTAGGCAAACTTTGTTAATAGTGGCTTATAGTTCAGTGGCAGCAACTCTGGCTCAAAACAGAAGGCTCCAGGCTCAAACCTGAGGTGAGAGGAGGCATTGGATATTTTTCCTTACACCTGCTTCCTCTGTTTACCTAGTCATATAGCATACAGTAAATGTACCTGGGCATTAACAGACTGTTGTGAACAGCCTTCTAGAGGGTGGTCGTGTACCTTAGATAGTGCTGAGCCTTGATATGTTGAGGTAGTATAACAACTCTTCTTAGCCTGTAAGTTCAAAAATATAAAAAGAGATTCTTACTTATGAATAAATAATCTATATAACAAACTAATAGGGGGAATTGTCTGAGTGATTGCTAAATCAGAATTGTTAGAAAATAGCAAAAACAAAAAAACACTTAAAGTACTCTACTATATACTTAATATAGTGTATACATAATTTGCACTTACATTGCACTAAAAACAGTGAAAACAAGGAGCTAAAAGTACAATTTACCCAATGGATTTTGGCCATTATTTTAAAAATATTACATCGAGAGTTTACTGTTCTTTGAACATTCAGTATGTCGTAAAATTCTGCCTGTTGACTTGGTACCAGTAAAACATTTCTGATAAATTAGACACATGTGCAACTCTTGGGTATCTTTATTGAGGAAGCGTTTCGCTACACAGTGGCTTCATCAGTCCATACAAAGGAGAAACGTGAAGAACAGGAAGAGAATGAGGTAATCAGTCCCTCAACCTTGAGTCGATGTGGTCAATCCATCAATCTTGAATAGAATACAGCATATCTGTGGAGAAGTAGCTTATATACCCAAGAGTTGCACATGTGTCTAATTTATCAATGTGTCGGTTCTCTGAACCATTCATCTATAAAACAATTCTGCTATTTGTTTTCAAGAAAAATTATGACTACACAGTCATACAGTACTTGTATAAAATTTGAAGATGCACATAAAAATAGAACAGTTAAGCTAATGATTATAAGTAAAAGAACAACATTGTAAGGGTTGATACAATATGACAGGCATAAATTGCGGTAGAGTACAGTGGACCCCCGGTTTACGATATTTTTTTCATTCCAGAAGTATGTTCAGGTGCCAGTACTGACTGAATTTGTTCCCATAAGGAATATTGTGAAGTAGATTAGTCCATTTCAGACCCCCAAACATACACATACAAACGCACTTACATAAATACACTTACATAATTGGTCGCATTGGGAGGTGATCGTTAAGCGGGGGTCCACTGTATTGGCATAATTGCTGCTGCAGTGTAACTGTGGCACATAAATTGATTCATTATTATTACAATCATAACTAAACACTAAACCCACAAGGGTCATACAATGCTGTCTTCATCCAAAAAATTGGAGCTACTCTTTCTCTCTGGATCAAACTTTCTTACGACCCATTCTCCAGACTCTTTAGGACATGTATGGGTTTGCTCTTTTCCTTGACTATGTAAGTGAAGACTAGAGGTATCCCTGGACATACCAATTATGTGGCATAATTCTTATCGTTTCTTTTCTATATATTTTTCATCCGTCAGACCACTCTGTTTACAGACCCTCTTATTAAAATTACGGTATACGTATTTAAATTTAATTTTTTTACAGCTCAGCGCGTGCACAAAGAAGGACTGAAGGTGCTGTGTATTCCTACATCTTTCCAAGCTCGGCAGTTAATAATTAATCATGATCTGGAACTTTCAGATCTTGAGATCACACCTCAGGTTTGAATTATTTCTTTTAGGCTACTGGAACATGGTAACAAAGTAGCTTCTGTTTCATGATGTTCTACTGCTGTTCTTACCTAGTTTTCCAATTTTCACTAGGCATTCAGAATGCAAATTAACCATTAGATAAGTTGACTACTAATTTTACTAAAAAAAAATTTTTGACAGCTTCATTTTAATCAAGTTACTCCAGGATTTTAAGAAATTTTCACATGTTGGCCAGTGTACTGCCTTCATTCTTATGAATTGTTTTCTTGCTTTGTGGAACAGTGTTTTAATATCCTGTTTTCATGTAGCCTGTGAGCTTTTTTTTTTTCCAGTGTACCGGCTGTATTCCACTGAGGCAGGGTGACTTAAAATGAAAAATGCAAGTTTTTCTTTTCACTTTTAGAAATTTATACAGGAGAAGGGGTTACTAACCCCTTGCTCCTGGCATTTTAGTTGCCTCTTACACGTGGCTTATAGAGGAAGGATTCTTCTCCACTTCCCCATGAAGTTTTTTTTTTGTTTTGTTTTACTGTAAACCCTTTATTTAATGAACTATTAGGAGTGGGGAGTTGCCTGTAATAGCAGTTGTGGTGTATAAAATGAGGTTATTTTGCCATGATCATAACAGTAACAGACAATTGTGTAACCAATGGACTCTGCTGTTTCTGAATTAATTGCCTCGTCAATTTTGCCCAGTACAGTGGTACCTCGAGATATGAACAGCTCAAAACTTTAACAATTATGTAAGTGTATTTATGTAAGTGCTTTTGTAAGTGTATTTTTGTGGGTCTGAAACGGATTAATCTAATTTCCATTATTCCTTATGGGAACAAATTCGTTCGGTATCAGCACTCGAACAGCCTTCTGGAACGAATTAAGTTCATATCCCAAGGTACCACTGTATTTCCAAAGTCTGTTAAATCATGGCCTGCTTTCTTTACCTAAAGACAAATTGCCTGGTTTATTCCAGTTATATTCCATATTTAGAATTTTCTAACTTGCATTGCTCTGTTTTATGTATAGTACAATAGGGCCCCACTTTACGGTGTTTTGCCTTACGGCATTCCGCTAATATGGACATTTCAAATTATGTATGACTAAAACTCATTATACGCCTCCCCCCACCTGATTTTCTAATACAGTCACCGTGCCCCCACCTAGTTTGTTTACATTCTTCTTGAGCACTGCATCTCTCCATTATGTCTGGAAACTTTCCAAAATTTCAAGTGTTTTAAAGTTACATATTTCATGTTTTATATATACTCTGATAATTATACTTATGTGTACCTGTACCTAAATAAACTTACACATTGTGCTGGCATGAAAGTACACATTAAAATCACTAAGAGTGTCTTATTAGTCTTGAGGACACCATATTAATAATGATAATATGCAATAATAATCACTCAGGCACATTAAATGTTGTGTATTATGTTTATATAAACATTTTCATTAATCCATCTATGATATTTTTTTCAAAATTATATAATAAATGCACTAACTTTTTTTTTTTCAACAACTCGGCCGTCTCCCATCGAGGCAGGGTGACCCAAAAAGAAAGAAAATTCCTAAAGAAAATACATACTTTCATTGAACACTTTCACCTCACTCACACACAATCACTGTCTTTGCAGAGGCACAACAGATACAACAGTTTAGAAGCATATATAACATATGTAACATATAAATATTTTTTTTTTCCAACAAACCGGCCATATCCCACCAAGTCAAGGTGACCCAAAAAGAAAAACAAAAGTTTCTCTTTTTAAATTTAGTAATTTATACAGGAGAAAGGGTTACTAGCCCCTTGCTCCTGGCATTTTAGTCACCTCTTACAACACGCATAGCTTACGGAGGAAGAATTCTGTTTCACTTCCCCATGGAGATAAGAAATAAACAAGAACAAGAACTAGTAAGAAAATAGAAGAAAACCTAGAGAGGTATGTATATATATATATACTTGTACATGTATGTGTAGTGTGACCCAAAGGGAAGTAGAAGTAGCAAGATGTACCTGAAACCTTGCATGTTTACGAGACAAAAAATGGACACCAGCAATCCTACCATCATGTAAAACAATTACAGGCTTTCGTTTTACACTCGCTTGGCAGGACGGTAGTACCTCCCTGGGCGGTTGGACATATAAATACAGTGGACCCCCGCTTAACGATCACCTCCCAATGCTACCAATTATGCAAGTGTATTTATGTAAGTGCATTTGTACGTGTATGTTTGGGGGTCTGAAATGGACTAATCTACTTTACAATAATCCTTATGGGAACAAATTTGGTCAGTACTGGCACCTGAAATTACTTCTGGAATGAAAAAATATCGTTAACCGGGGCTCCACTGTATATGTAACATATAAACATGATAAATACACCCCACAGTTGAATAAATTAACATAAATACGAGACGTCACGTATAGATGAACATGTATGAACCAAAACTAGACGTGTTTGTCTGCTTATTTACATACTCCGCATCTCTCTACTCTCTCATTTACTCGTTCTCTCTCTCGTTTATTTGTTTTACCTCATTTACTCGCCTCTCACCTTACATTAAGACTACAAATATTTTAAGGTAAGCAATGAGTGTATTGTTTGTAAATTTTATTGCTATGGGGCGCTTTAAATGTCATAGTATATTACGTGTGGGTGGGGTGGCCTGGCTGGCTACCATACCTCACTTCTTGCAATAAATACTACTCGCCTCTCACCCTACATTAAGACTACAAATATTTTAAGGTAAGTAATGAGTGTACTGTGTTGTGTATTTTACCTTTATTGTTCTTAATGCCTAGTTCTATTGCAAACTTAATACATGTAGTATATGTAAAATTGTTATCTGGCATTTATATGCATTTATAAGCGGAAAAAAGTGGCGTTCTGCTTTCCAGCGGTAACCTGGAACCTAACCTGCCGTATAAGTGGGGCCCTACTGTATATTGCTTAGGTCATAAATTATGGTCACATAGGTTTCAACATTTAGTATATAATCTTTACATAATAACATTTCTAAAAATAACCTCTATATCAGAAGTACAATACTGTATATGAATTGTTTGTCTACAATAACTTTACAAAATGTGATATAATGTATTGAGGTTGTGTATTTTTTTAGCTGGACGTGGCCATTGATGGTGCCGATGAAGCAGATGCTAAATTAACCCTCATCAAGGGCGGTGGAGGATGCCACTTGCAGGAAAAAATTGTTGCTGCAGCGGCCAAACTTTTTATAGTTGTTGCAGATTACAGGTTAGGATACTGTGCAATCACCTTTTATTATGTGTGTGTAGAAAATTAGATATTTTGTTATACATACATTTAATTTGTTAAAGTTGCTAATCCTGTAATGTATTCTTTACCAGGAAAGACTCAACAGCCCTTGGTGAACAGTGGACAAAAGGGATTCCAATTGAGGTTGTTCCAATGGCATATCGTACTGTTCAGTTGAAAATTGAGTTGGAGCTCGGCGGAAAAGCTGTATTAAGACAAGCTAAAGCCAAAGCAGTAAGTTGCATGTAATTATATGGAAAAGGTTTATATGTATGTTTGAAAAGAATCGACAGTGGATGTGGTGCCTCACTCGTTTAACTCTTCAAGAGGGTGCTGAAGGCTCTTGATCCATGGCATTAGAGCAACTCTCCTCTTGGAGCAAACCTCATTACTTCCCATTCTCCATGGGTTGTATAACACTGAGTTAATACTTCCCCATAAATAATATATAACCTCTCATTTAATAAGTAATTATCATTAGCTGTGCATTCTGTGTAGATGAGAGTCCAATGAAGTTCCATTCCTAAGACCATGTTGGTAAACGAATTCATCACTAAGTGAGGAGAGGCTGTATATCCTTAATAACACACATTATGACTACACTGTTTAATTGACCTTTTTCTGTGTTCTTAAGATAAGATTTGTTCAGATTTTTAACCCAGTGGGTTAGCCACCCAAAATAACCCAAGAAAGTCAGTGTGTCGTTGAGGACTGTCTTCTTTCTATTGGGGCCCTTCAGTCTTGTCCCCCAGGATGCAACCCACACCAGTCAAGTAACACCCAGACACCTGCTTAACTGCTAGGTGAACATGGACAGTAAGTTTAAGGAGACATGCTCAGCATTTCCATCCATGTCTCGAATCAAACCATGTACAGTGTGTGTGAGGCGAGAGCATTGCCAACCAAGCCATGGAAGACAGTATCAAAATGTTTAAAAGTATTATTTGCCTGGATTGACTCTTTGTCATACTAAGTGAAGATGGGTGGGGAGTAGAACGAGCAGTCAGCAGTTATAATTTTGTAAAACTTTCCCTTGGTTCATATATCTCAAGGTTTGTAAAATGGCTTGGGTAATAAGGTAGACAGCATTTGAAATAATTTATTTGAGCTGGGAAAATAAAAAAATTCCAAAACAAACAACATGATTTTTATAATAATACATATAGTATTGTTTTATGAAATTTGATTAGACTTTATTTCTCTGAACTATGGACCTATCTGATTAAACTTTCTCGGCCTTTTGAAAATCAAATGGGTAGTTAAAATCTTTCGCACAAATTAGACTTATCTGTGTCAGAATTAAAAAATACATTTGATTTCAGGGTCCGGTTGTGACAGACAATGGTAACTTTATTGTGGACTGGGTTTTTGATCGCACATATGATTGGCAGAAAGTTAATCAGCAGATTAAGATGATTCCAGGTAAGTTTATCATTTATCCAAAGTAAGGCTGGTTTATTTCTATTTTGTAGTTTTAAGCATTCCATCAAATTTTTATTTGCAGTTATTTTACTTTCATCCTTTGCATCTTTCAGGATATGTACATAGTGGTTTATTTCTCTCAGCATATATATGCTGAGAGTTTACTTTAATTCCTATTTTAGGGATTAATGTATTCTTATCTGGAAGTGAAAGGGCTACATACAGCTTTAATGATCCTAGTGTAGTCATGTTTTAACTAATTAACTAATCTGCACTTTTTCCACAAAATATCTTGTGGGTTTATTTCAGATACAGTGAAACCTCAAAAATCGAACGTATCACATATCGAACGTTTCGAAAATAAGACCATTTTTTCGGACAAACTGTGTCCCTATTATCGAACGCGCCCCTATTTTCGGACCGCCGGGTATGGGACCTGTCCGCTGGCCCGCTCTGTCCGCGTCCCCGCACAGGCGCCATGAGCAGTCTAGCTTTGTTTATGCTTGAGTGAACACTAACCTGCGATCTCATTCACACATTTTACGATTATTTAATCGTGTTTAGTGCTTATGGGGCTGTGAAATAAGCTGCCATGGGCCCAAAGAAACTTGCTAGCGGTACCCCTGTGGTAAAGAAAGTGAGAAACACCATAGATGTGAAGACGAAAAATAATACAGAAGTATGAGATTGGAGTGAGACTTGTTGAGCTTGCCTGGATGTACAGAGGACTGTGGACAGTTATTTTGTGAGACAGAAACAGACGACTGTGGACAGTTATTTTGTGAGACAGAAACAAACGACTGTGGACAGTTATTTTTTGAGACAGAAACTGATGACTGTGGAGTTATTTTGTGAGACAGAAACAGACAACTGTGGAGTTTTGTGAGACAAACAGACAATTGTGGACAGTTATTTTGTGAGACAAACAGACGACTGTGGACAGTTATTTCGTGAGACTGAAACAGACGACTGTGGAGTTATTTTGTGAAACAGACGATTGTGGACAGTTATTTTGTGAGACAGAAACAGACGACTGTGGACAATTATTTTGTGAGACAGAAACAGAAGACTGTGGAGTTATTTTGTGAGACAAACATGATTGTGGACAGTTATTTTATGAGACTGGGGTCCAATGACTCTCAAGCTGGTCCTAGTGGCATTAAAATACAGAGAAGGGAAGCAACCCCAGATAGGGCTTTGATACCGGAAGTCCTCATGGAGGGGGATTCTCCTTCCAAACAACCCCAACTCCTCTCTCCTCCTCCCTATCATCCAGATGCCATCACCAATCTTTAATAAAGGTAAGTAAAAATGTTATTTTATATTACTATACATAATTGAAGACTATAGCATTTGTTGTGTGTATGTAAAACTGTAATTAATCTCTATAAAATGTATTTTTTTGGTGAATATTTTAGGGTTTCTGGAATGGATTAATTGTATTTCCATTATTTCTTATGGGAAATATTGCTTCGAATTTCAGGCTTTTCGAATTTAGAACTAGCTCCTGGAACGGATTAAGTTCGATTTTTGAGGTTCCACTGTACTAGAATGTTGATCTTATATTTTTCTTTAGAATGGTTTACAGGTTGTACTTATATTATTTAAAATAATACAAAGGAAATTTTCTAGATTGGCTTGGTGTAAGCTGTAGAATTGAATGACCCCCACAGGTTCACTGTTTTGTGGTAATATTTTCAATTAAACTCGTATTGTGCTTGAGTACCTAAATTATTTGGGCAGTTCTCATTAGGGAAACAAAGAACTTTGACATGACCTAGTGCCTTGTTGCAGCATTTGAGTGTGTTACTACTTATTTCTTTACTAAAATGACCATGTAAGAAATTAAATTTAGATTTCACCATTTTTTTACTTGTTAAATTTAATAACTTTTATTTTTCAGGTGTTGTGGAAACAGGTTTGTTTGTTGGAATGGCCAAGATTGCTTACTTTGGAATGGAAGATGGCTCTGTGAAGGAACGAGAAGTGTGAAACTTGCCTCAGGCTTTTGTTGAGTCTAATGCAGTCTTCATTTAATGGTTATATTAGCTCATTCTTTATTAATATCTTGATCTCATTAAGCTTATTTTTTCTTCAGTTTAAATACACATATCATTGTATGTACATTTGTAATGTATTATGCTAAAGAATGCTCTAAACCTGTTTTGAATTTAGATACATTTTATTGGGTACATGTGATTTACATGTAGATGATTTTGTCATTTCAAGGCCTAGGTTGTATTGAGGAAAAAAATATTGAGATGTAGTAATTTAGAAATATAGGTCAACAAAGTTGAGTAAAAAGAAAACAAAGCAAATACTAAAGCAAAATATATTAGTATGAGTTTTAAGAGAATGGATGATTTATAGACAAACTTTATGAGGAAAAGGTATACTGAAGAGTTAAAACATACACAGGATACAGAAATCATAAATGACAAACCTGGACATAATGAGAAATAAAGTAATTCTGGGTAAGTAAGGTAAAGATAAAGGAAGTATATACAGTAAATTAAAGTTATGTAAGAGTTATGCAAGTGTGATTTGATGCGTGTAATGCCAGGGGTTATGGGAGATGAATGGCTAATAATTTTTTTTAACACCGGCTGTCTCCCACCAAGGTAGGGTGACCCGAAAAAGGAAGAAATGCTTTCACTATCACTCCATCACTGTCTTGCCAGATGTGCACTGATACTATAGCTGCCCCTCCAAACTGGCTTATTATTGTGTAAAAATAGCTGTAGCGTGAAAGACAAAGATAATACTAATAATGCTGAGACTATAATAAAGCTCGTCAAGAAAATGCAGAGAGCATAGGTTTTTAATACATAACCAAACATGTTACAGAGCTAGGGTAAATAGGAATGAAACCATCTGAGGGTAACCAAACATGTTGCAGAGCTCAGGTAAGCAGGAATGATAACATGCAAGGGTAATCAGTCATGTTAGAGCTAAGGTAAATAGGAATGAAATCATCCGAGGGTAACCAAACTTGTTACAAAGCTCAGGTAAGTAGGAATGATAGCAACCAAGGGTAACCAATCATGTTAGAGCTAAGGTAAATAGGAATAACAACATCCAAGGGTCACACTTATCAGTGTCAGATACAGCACATAGTTAATTTGAGAAATAAATCAGAGGGCTTTAGTAACACTGTTACTGTACAACCCTTGTAGGTTAAGCACTTTTTGTTTATAATAATAATAATAATCATAATAGCACTTTCTGTTGTATGTTGGGTAAAACTGGGCAAAAACTGAATAAAATAAAGCTTTAAATATGCTGAAGGTATATATAAGGTAATTTTTTTTCATAAAGTAGGATCTGAAAAAGTGTAACATTGAATATTTAGCCGCTAATTAGAGTAATGAGAAATGAAGCAACAAAGATAAAAATAAAGATTGGCAATCAAGATAAATTCATACAACAAATTGTTTAAGGATTGTACAGGTGAATACAAAGCACTGTAATGTCTTCAAATTATGAGCATACTAAAACTAGAACAGGAATAAAATAGTATTTCAGATTGGACAAAATAATTTCAGTAAAAGATAGTAAGATATTGTTTGGAAAAAACTACTAGAGAAAATTGGAAAAAATGCATATGATATGCATAACAATAGCCTTTTTGACAAGCTCAAAAATGCAGAATTTTTTTTGCATCTCAGATCTGAACTTGAATTGAAAATCTTATCCTTTTTTTTTTTTTTTCAATGAACCTGTTGCATCTCGCCATCATATACTGTACGGTATTTTTTTTGTTCACCACACTGGAAGGGTGATCCCAAAAAGAAGAAAACTTTGAAGTTTTTCTTCTTTTTACATTTAGTAATTTATACAGGGGTTATACAGTATAAGCCACTTTTCAATAGTAATTATGTAGAAATGGAAAGATAGATAATTATAATTAATGGGTGGAAACATTTTCCATAGTTGAGATATTTTATTCTCATTTAAGATTACTGACAGTGTTATTAAACATATTCTGTTTCTTCTCCAATTCCATGGTTTTCCAATACATTTTCTTTTGTTGTATTTATGCAGTATTATTAATTTAGTAAGTTGTTATAACTTTCAAAGGTTTAATTACAGTACCAATAAAAATTCATGTTTTTTTGAGTACCTAATTTTTCAGTCCTCTTCAGATTTTTATCTACTTATTACTTTCTGCTTTAATTATTCTGCATCAAATCTGCAAGGAAAGGCAGATGACACAGTACCTGTAATGTGATTTAGGACCTTTTAATAAATGACTTCCCCTTCAAGGGAGGTTCCTTGATGCTGGTGAAAGGCTCTTGATCTAGGAAATTGAATGTCCTCCAGTTCCTTGAATTGAGCCTGAATGCCTTCTATCTCCCTCAACAGGCACTGTATAATCCCTATGGGTTTAGTGGTCCCCCATAATATAAATGGCTTTTATATATTTTCTAGGGCTATACAAAAGTTTCTGTATCAGCTAATTTTGATGGTATTGGTCTAAATTTGAGTATTGGTTAGTATAAAAAAAATTTGGTGTTGTCCCATTCCTAATATTTTCTCAAAGTATTCAGTGGATTTGTAGGCTACTTAAAAGTTTAAACCACTGATATCATAACTGAGGTCTTTACTTCTACTAATTTTATATGTCTATTAATGGTTCAGGAAATTATTACCCAGATTGACTGGGCCTCTTTTTATGTTTGTGAGACCTAAGAGGCCAATTGGGTCTAATGAACATCTTAAAGACCACTTCCTATATTCAGATGTCACTCAGCTGAATAGTCTTGCGTGTTTTCTTGAATTTCCAGATGAGTTATTTGATGTGCATTGTGATTTTCTCTTATGCTTAGTAGGTAGTGCTGAACCCATAGGGGTCACCCCATATAGCATCTAGGAAACAGGTTATCAAGACTGATTCAAGGAAGAGGAAAACAGATACAATTCTTTGGATCAAGAACCCTTTGCCAGCAGCACATGTACAGTTCAGTTATTTCTTAAAGGAAATGTTTTGCTGCAAGTGGCTTCACCAATCCTAATACAGAGCAAGGTAAAACTGTTTACAGGGGAGAGTACAGGTCACTAGTAGCAAGAGGGTCATGAAGATGAATTTGAGCAGGACCTGTTTGGATGGGCCAGTATGTCTACTGCATAGCTTCTCCATGTTCATTGTTTGTTCATATGACACACTTCAAGGAAGGTTCCCTGATGCTGGTGAGGGGCCCTAGATTTGGGAATTGGATCTGTGCTCCAGTTTCCTGAATTAAGCCTGAGTACTTTTCATCCCACCACAGGCGCTGTATAATCCTATATGGTTTAGCGCTTCTTTTTTTTTTTTTTCTTTTTTTTCAATTACAATAATGTATAATCCTATGGGTTTAGTGCTTTCCCCTTGATTATTATAATAATAATAATAATAATGTCTACTGCATAGCTTCTCCCCTCAAGGAAGGTTCCTTGATGTTGGTGAGGGCTCTTGATTTAGGAAATTGGATCTGTGCTCCAGTTCCCTGAATTAAGCCTGAATGCCTTCCACATCCCACCCCCAGGCGCTGTATAATCCTCCGGGTTTAGCGCTTCCCCTTGATTATAATAATAATACTGCATAGCTTCTCCATGTTCACTATTTGTTCACATGATACCCCTCAAGGGAGGTTCCTTGATGTTGGTGAGGGCTCTTGATTTAGGAAATTGGATCTGTGCTCCAGTTCCCCGAATTAAGCCTGAATGCCTTCCACATCCCACCCCCAGGCGCTGTATAATCCTCCGGGTTTAGCGCTTCCCCTTGATTATAATAATAATAATAATACTGCATAGCTTCTCCATGTTCACTATTTGTTCACATGATACCCCTCAAGGGAGGTTCCTTGATGTTGGTGAGGGCTCTTGATTTAGGAAATTGGATCTGTGCTCCACTTCCCTGAATTAAGCCTGAATGCCTTCCACATCCCACCCCCAGGCGCTGTATAATCCTCCGGGTTTAGCGCTTCCCCTTGATTATAATAATAATAATACTGCATAGCTTCTCCATGTTCACTATTTGTTCACATGATACCCCTCAAGGGAGGTTCCTTGATGCTGGTGAGGGGCTCTTGATCTTAATGTGAAAAGTAATCCTTTAGCTAAAGGTTTGGAAAATGAAAGAATGTTGTTGAAAAACATGAATGGACTGGGATTCAAACTCAGGTTCTGTGTGATTATCCCTGCGTGTAGTAAGTCATGGAGGTTTCAATAGAATAATTTTACAGTCGGCACTTCTGTGACTAAGTTTCCACTAGCTGCCACTGTCTAATGCTACTGTCTCGTCCAATATCCAAAAACCTATATGGTTTATAAACTCAATATAAATCATAATGAATGACTGTCAATGAGAAATTGAGTGTGCAAATAAACCTTAGTTGTACTCATATTGCTGTATAGTCCTTGTGGCTTAGCGCTTCTTTTTGATTATAATAATAATGTACTCATATTGTGCTGATGAATGCTCAATCACTTACTACTTTGAAATTAGGATGTCTTCGTAATACAGTACATCATAATGTAAATTGTTCCATTGTAATACCAAATTTCATTGTTTTAAATAGTATTAAACTAATACATCACACTGTAAATTGTTTTAAATTGTTACATTGTAATACTATAATCTATTAACTAATTCAACAGTGTGAAAAGTATCTACTAGACTTATCAAAACCATGTAGCATCGCCTTATATAATATTAAACTCTCCTGTACTCGCTCATCTAATGACCATATGAACTATGTATTATTGCCTTACTATTCTTAAGTTAATCTTTAAGTTTGCCCGAAATGCTCAGCATATAGAGGGGCTTTTGGCATGTACACCCAACTGTTATATTCCTCTGTACAACCCTGTAATTTGTCAAAATAAAAAATCTAAATCTAAAAAAAAATTAAATTTAAGAACTTTCAGTATAAAATCTTTGTCAGAAACTAAGACATTCAATAAATTACCTAAGAATAGAATGAATTAGATGGAAATGAGTGCTGCATGCTTAGCACTTAAGAACATGAGAAAGAAGGTACACTGCAGCAGGCCTGCTGGCCCATGTGAGGCAAGTCCAATTCTCCTACAATGTAGGCAATTAGTGGTAGATTCTGGAGACCAACGGAAAGATTCACAAGGTTCTTCCCATCCCTCAAACTGTATAGTTAATATTATGTCCCTTTAGTTTCTTGTCGCCAGTGAGGGGTTCTTTATTAAAAGAACTGTACTTTATATCCTGTGCTCCAGTTCCCCGAATTAAGCCTGAATGCCTTCCACATCCCCCCCACGCGCTGTATAATCCTCCGGGTTTAGCGCTTCCCCTTGATTATAATAATAATAATGTACTTTATATCCCCTTTCCTGGGTCAAACCACAGTGCTGTATGACCCTTGTGGGTTTAACACCTAATTTTGATAATAATTTGGGTTATCCTAGGTAATCTACACATGATGCTATGTAGGATAATTTATGTAACTGTATTTACGTGTACCTGTACCTGAATAAAAAGTTACTTACAAATGGACCCGTGTTCCCTCTTTTTTTTTTTTCCATCACTCAGCTTAGATTTTAGATTTTTCCACTAGTTTACTGTGCACTCCATATCCATCCTGTGGAGGGTAGTGCAAGAGCATATGGATACACAAAAGGCCTAGGAACTAAGCCCCAAAAGGGTTAACAGATGTACATTTGGATTCATATCTACAGTTCACTTATCTGTTACAAGCAAATTTAGGAAATTTGCTTTTAAGGGGGCTTAAGCAGTATCTCTTCCCTATATTAAGATTAGTCTGACTGAAATGCTCAGGCATGTTAGTGGCTTTCTCTGTACTTAACAACATATTATAAAATGTAAATTACACATTGTAACCTTTGCAAAGAAATAAAAATTGTATTGGTACTGGAAATATGTAAGGACTCCAATGGAAATAAGTCACTCTGACTGACTTTTTTGGGTTATCCCAGGTTCTCTACACATATCCCCTCATGGAAGGTTCCTTGATGTTGGTGAGGGCTCTTGATTAGGAATTGGAACTGTGCTCCAGTTACCCGCATAGCCTGAATCCCCTTCCAAAATCCCCCCCCCGGCGCTGTATAATCTACGGGATTAGCGCTCCCCTTTAGTATAATAATAATAATCTACACATATATGCTGCTATGTATGATAATTCTATGTAACTGTATTTGTGTATATCTGAATAAACTTACTTACTTATTTACTGACTTTACTTGCTTCCTTACTTACTTTACTTATTTACTTACATATTTACATACTTGCTTACTTACATACATACTTATTTACCTACTTACATACTTATTTACCTACTTCCTTATTTACTTACATATTTACATGCTTACTTACATACATACTTACTTAAGTTACTTATAAACCAGGAATCAGAGCTGGATATTAAGCTGTTATTGGCCTTTATAAACCCAACAAGACATAGAAGACAAGATGTTGAAACATGGTGGTGTTACTCCTCGACTTTACTCTCAAGTTCTTCGTCTTGCAGCTTCCTGCAACATACACACCACACTCTCAACTTTCAGTGAACTGAAAGCCGAAGGTAAAGCTGACAGATTGTTAATGACTCAATGGAACCCCAGTGGAAATAAATCACTGACATTTTTTTTTTGGGTGGTTATCATAGGTTATTTACTCGTGTTAATATATATGATAATTATCATCACCTAAACCTGTTTAACTGTCCTTATGTGTAAGTGTACGTGTACGTGTACGTGTACCTTAATAAACTTCCAAAGCTTTTTATTCAGTTGTCTTCCTCAAGTCAGTGACTTATTTCCCTTGACGTAATAGACTTCAACATGAACCTTGACCTAACAGATGACCAACTTGTTCTTGACCACATTAACAATATGAACAATACACTACTCATACCAGTAATTACAAAACCAATAAGACTGAGATGAGTGCAACCATAATTGATCATATATGGACAGACATACTCACCCCCCTTAAAGCAGGGATAATCATAGACAGTACTCTAAACTACTACCAAACTTTCCTCCTGACAAACATTTGTAAGTAACCAATGGAATATAATAAGTTCTCTTTTCGACTCCATGATGAGGCTTCAATAAGTAACTGCAGAACTAAGCTCAGTTTTGACTGGTGTACAGAATTTTCCAATGCCGCTGGTATCGATGAATGGGTAGATGAATGGGTATTTCTAAATAAAATTTAAAGACTATGTAACAAACATTGTCCCATAAAAACTAAACAGATCACCAATAAAACACTAAGTTGTCCATGGCTTACTAACAGCATTCTAAGGTCCATTAATAAAAAACATCAATCATTATATATTTTTATTAACACATCGGCCGTTTCCCACCAAGGCAGGGTGGCCCGAAAAAGAAAAACTTTCATCATCATTCACTCCATCACTGTCTTGCCAGAGGCGCACTTGCACTACAGTATAAAAACTGCAACATTAACACCCCTCCTTCAGAGTGCAGACACTGTACTTCCCATCTCCAGGACTCGGGTCTGCCTGTTTCCCTGAATCCCTTCATAAATGTTACCTTGCTCACACTCCAACAACACATCAAGTCCTAAAAACCATTTGTCTCCATTTGCTCCTATATAACACGGTCATGCATGCTTGCTGGAAGCCCAAGCCCCTGGAAAATAGTTTTGGTAATCCTGCACCTCCTCCTAATCTCCAAACTACAGATTTTCTGCATTATATTCACACCACACATTGCCTTCAGACATGACATCTCCACTGCCTCCAGCCTTCTTGTTACAACATTCACCACCCAGAACATTTACCATTTCTCACTAATGATGAGTCTTTTATTTTTTTTTTTTTTACCAAATTGGACATGTTGGGTGACCCAAAGAAAAAATACATTCATCCTCATTGATTCAGTATAAAACAATTTTTACACAAGTATGTCGTCAGTGGTCAGTCGTCATGTGAGGTCACAGACCCTGAGCTGCTTTGGGGATTAGCGTGGATGGTTACAAAGCATGGCTTGCTTCTGAAGTGTTCTAAAAATTGAGGTTGGAGAGTTGAAGGAGGAGGTCTTGCTTCTCCAGGAGGAGATTAGGAGGCTGAAGGTCCACCTCAATGGGTCTGGGAGAGTGTGAGGTGGCTGGAATTGTGGGGAATGAGGCTTCTAGCAGTGAGGTGCAGTCTGTCTCTCGCTGTGAGGAGGCTGTAGGTGGGGAGGTAGCAACGGCTATCAGCAGTGAGGTGCAGTCCAGCACCTGCTACAAGTGGCGAGTGGTTCCCAGTAATGGGAGGGGAATCAGGATAAGGAAAGTTAAGAGTGAAGATCTGAAGGTAGGAAATCACTTCTCTGTTCTTCAGGATGAATGTACTTCAGTGGCCAGTGAAGGTAAGGGTACTACTGCCCCTGCTAACAGAGGTAAGCGCATTCTTGTGGTTGGTGACTCTCAGGTAAGATATATTGACCGTGCTTTTTGTAATAGGAATAAGATGAGAGATAGTGTATGCTTCCCTGGAGCTGGTGTTGGGGACATAGTTAACAGGCTGGATAATATCATGTCAGGTAATGGGAACAAGCCCATTATCTGTCTCAGTGCTGGTGGAAATGATATTGGGAAGGGTAGGAGAGAAGAGCTGCTAGATAAGTACAGGTCAGCTATAGATTTCATTAAGTCTAAGGGAGGGGTCCCAATCATATGTAGCATCTTGCCTAGAAGGGGAGTAGGAAATGAATGGTTATCTAGGGCAATTGGTGTAAATTGCTGGCTAGACAGATACTGCAAGGAACTTGCAATCCCATTCATTGACAACTGGAACAACTTTTATGGCAAACATGATATGTATGCAAGGGATGGGGTACATCTCTCTGGGGCAGGGGTGGTAGCACTTGCAAACTCAATTGAGAAGGCCATTGGTGAAATGCCTATGATTTTAAACTGATATAAGATAGAGGTATGGGTGTGTGTGGGAAACAAGCAGGTTGCAACACTAGGGTTGGAAACAGTAAATGTATAAAAGGCATTCAGCATGAAGATATAAATAAAGACAATAGATCAGGTCAGCAAACAAAGGGGGACAGCAGAGGGCAGCAAGGGACTAGCTCCCTTAAGGTTTACTATACTATTATTAGCAGGAGTGTAAGAAATAAGATAGATGAGCTAAGATTAATTGCAAGCGCAGGAAACATAGATATTATTGCTATAACAGAGACCTGGCTCAATCTGAAAGATAGAGAGATGCCCTCTGAATGTCACATACAAGGCTATAAATTATTCCACACTGACAGGGTCAACAGGAAGGGTGGTGGAGTAGCGATGTACGTCAGAGACAATTTAAATTGTTGTGTTAGACAGGATATAAAATTAGAAGTGTCAGCCACTGAATCTGTTTGGTTACAGCTTCTCGAGGGCCGAGAAAAACTAATTTTGGGTGTGATTTACAGGGCCCCAAATCTTGATAGGGAGTGCAGTAAACTTCTATGGGACGAGATTCGTAAGGCATCTACATACGAAAATGTTGTGCTAATGGGAGATTTCAACTATAGACAGATTGACTGGAGCAATTTGACAGGAAATTTAGAGTCAGGTGACTTTCTTGATATGATCCAGGATTGTTTTTTAAAACAGTTTGTGACAGAGCCAACTAGAGGAAATAACCTCCTTGACTTGGTTCTTGCCAGTAGGGAAACACTAATTAATAATCTTGAGGTTAATGATGAGCTTGGGGAAAGTGATCACAAATCACTCAGTTTTAATATATCATGGAATTCCCTAATAATGGCAATCAAGGCTCTGTCCCTGACTTTCACTTGGCTGATTTCATAGGACTGAAAATTACTTAGGTGGGCTGAACTGGAATGACCTGACTAAGGGTCAGGTAGGTGGTGATGGTTGCCGATATGATGCTTTCCAGGGCATAGTTCTAGCTGCTCAGTCAAATTATGTTCCAAATAGGGAAATCAGATCAAACAAAATGATCCTAAATGGATGAACAATAGATTAAAATATCTGATTGGTCAAAAGAGAGGCATATATAGGCAAATCAAAAGAGGAGAGGGGCAATTAAGAAATCGATATATTCAGTTAAAGAGAGAAATAAAAAAGGGAATTAGAAAAGCAAAAAGAGATTATGAGGTTAAAGTTGCAAGAGAATCGAAAACTAACCCAAAAGGATTCTTTCAGGTATACAGAAGTAAGATCGGGGACAAGATAGGCTCACTCAAAAGTTCCTCGGGTCAGCTCACTGACAGTGATAAGGAAATGTGTAGAATTTTTAACACATACTTCCTCTCAGTTTTTACACAGGAGGATACCAGCGATATTCCAGGAATGATAAATTATGTAGAACAGGACGATAATAAACTGCACGATTAGGGTCACAAGTGATGTGGTCCTTAGGCAAATAGATAAATTAAAACCTAACAAATCTCCAGGCCCTGATGAACTGTATGCAAGGGTTCTAAAGGAATGTAAAGAGGAGCTTAGCAAACCTTTGGCTAATCTTTTCAACATATCACTACAAACTGGCATGGTGCCAGATAAGTGGAAAATGGCAAATGTGATACCTATTTTCAAAGCAGGTGACAGGTCCTTAGCTTCGAACTATAGACCAACAAGCCTAACCTCCATAGTGGGAAAATTTATGAAATCAATAATTGCCGAGGCAGTTTGTAGCCACCTTGAAAAGCATAAATTAATCAACGAATCTCAGCATGGTTTTACAAAGGGGCGTTCCTGCCTTACGAATTTATTAACTTTTTTCACTAAGGTATTTGAGGAGGTAGATCATGGTAATGAATATGATATTGTGTATATGGACTTCAGTAAGGCTTTTGACAGGGTCCCACATCAGAGACTATTGAGGAAAATTAAGACACATGGAATAGGAGAAATTTTTTCCTGGATAGAGGCATGGTTGACAAATAGGCAGCAGAGAGTTTGCATAAATGGGGAGAAATCAGAGTGGGGAAGCATCACGAGCGGTGTTCCACAGGGGTCAGTGTTGGGCCCCCTGCTGTTCACAATCTACATAAACGACATAGATGAGGGCATAAAGAGCGACATCAGCAAGTTTGCCGATGACACCAAAATAGGCCGTCGAATTCATTCTGACGAGGACATTAGAGCACTCCAGGAAGATTTGAATAGACTGATACAGTGGTCGGAGAAGTGGCAGATGCAGTTTAATATAGACAAATGCAAAGTTCTAAATGTTGGACAGGACAATAACCATGCCACATATAAACTAAATAATGTAGATCTTAATATTACGGATTGCGAAAAAGATTTAGGAGTTCTGGTTAGCAGTAATCTGAAACCAAGACAACAGTGCATAAGTGTTCGTAATAATGCTAATAGAATCCTTGGCTTCATATCAAGAAGCATAAATAATAGGGAGTCCTCAGGTTGTTCTTCAACTCTATACATCCTTGGTTAGGCCTCATTTAGATTATGCTGCATAGTTTTGGTCACCGTATTACAGAATGGATATAAATGCTCTGGAAAATGTACAAAGGAGGATGACAAAGTTGATCCCATGTATCAGAAACCTTCCCTATGAGGATAGACTAAGGGCCCTGAATCTGCACTCTCTAGAAAGACGTAGATTTAGGGGGGATATGATTGAGGTGTATAAATGGAAGACAGGAATAAATAAAGGGGATGTAAATAGTGTGCTGAAAATATCTAGCCTAGACAGGACTCGCAGCAATGGTTTTAAGTTGGAAAAATTCAGATTCAGGAAGGATATAGGAAAGTACTGGTTTGGTAATAGAGTTGTGGATGAGTGGAACAAACTCCCAAGTACAGTTATAGAGGCCAGAACGTTGTGTAGCTTTAAAAATACAGTGGACCCCCGCATAGCGAACGCCTTGCATAGCGAACAATCCGCATAGCGAACGCTTTGTTCGCTAAAATTTTGCCCCGCATAGTGGACAAAAACCCGCTCAGCGACCTTCGTCCGAGACGCGTCCAATGTGCGCCCTCAGCCAGCCTCACATGTGCCGCCCGTCCCATTGTTTACCAGCCAGCCTCCGCGGTAACATTCAAGCATACACTCGGAATATTTCGTATTATTACAGTGTTTTCGGTGCTGTTTGTGGAAAATAAGTGACCATGGGCCCCAAGAAAGCTTCTAGTGCCAACCCTACACCTCAAAGGGTAAGAATACCCATTGAAATTAAGAAAAGAGATCATTGATAAGTATGAAAGTGGAGTACGTATCACCGACCTGGTCAGGTTGTACAAGAAACCAAAATCAACCATCGCTTCTATTGTGGGCAAGAAAACGGCAATCAAGGAAGCTGTTGTTGCCAAAGGTTTAACTGTGTTTTCGAAACAAAGATCGCAAGTGATGGAAGATGTTGAGAGACTCTTATTGGTGTGGATAAATGAAAAACAGCTAGCAGGAGATAGCGTCTCTCAAGCGATCATATGTGAAAAGGCTAGGAAGTTGCATGACGATTTAATTAAAAAAATGCCTGCAACTAGTGATGATGTGAGTGAATTTAAGGCCAGCAAAGGTTGGTTTGAGAGATTTAAGAAGCGTAGTGGCATCCATAGTGTGATACGGCATGGTGAGGCTGCCAGTTCGGACCACAAAGCGGCTGAAAAATATGTGCATGAATTCAAGGAGTACATAGAAACTGAAGGACTGGAACCTGAACAAGTGTTTAATTGTGATGAAACAGGCCTGTTCTGGAAGAAAATGCCAAGCAGGACCTACATTACTCAGGAGGAAAAGGCACTCCCAGGACATAAGCCTATGAAAGACAGGCTTACTTTGTTGATGTGTGCCAATGCTACTGGTGATTGCAAAGTTAAGCCTTTATTAGTGTATCACTCTGAAACTCCCAGAGCGTTCAGGCAAAAGAATGTCCTCAAGGATAATTTGTGTGTGCTGTGGAGGGCAAACAGTAAGGCATGGGTCACTAGGGAATTTTTCTATAACTGGTTACACCATGCATTTGCCCCCAATGTGAAAGATTACCTAACTGAAAAGAAATTAGACCTTAAGTGCCTCCTGGTGTTAGACAATGCCCCTGGTCATCCTACAGACGTGGCAGAGCGACTTTATGGGGACATGAGCTTCATTAAGGTGAAGTTTTTGCCTCCTAATACCACTCCTCTCCTGCAGCCCATGGACCAGCAGGTCATTTCCAACTTCAAGAAACTGTACACAAAAGCTCTGTTTCAAAAGTGCTTTGAAGTGACCACAGACACTGGATTGACTCTAAAAGAGTTTTGGAAGGATCACTTTAATATCCTCAGTTGTGTAAACCTTATAGGTAAGGCTTGGGAGGGAGTGACTAAGAGAACCTTGAACTCTGCTTGGAAGAAACTGTGGCCAGAATGTGTAGACAAAAGGGATTTTGAAGGGTTTGAGGCTAACCCTGAGAGGAGTAGTATACCAGTTGAGGAATCAATTGTGGAATTGGGGAAGTCCTTGGGGTTGGAGGTTAGTGGGGAGGATGTGGAAGAGTTGGTGGAGGAGGACAATGAAGAACTAACCACTGATGAGCTGATAGATCAACTTCAAGAGCAAGAGGCCAGACCTGGGAAACTGGTTCAAAGGAGGGGAGAGAGAGAAATTGAAGGAATTGCCTACTTCAAAGATTAAGGAAATGTGTGCAAAATGGCTTGAAGTGCAAACCTTTTTTGATGAAAATCACCCTCACACAGCTATTGCAAGCCGTGCTGGTGACTGTTACAATGACACTGTTGTGAACCACTTTAGACAAATCATAAAGGAACGAGAGGTACAGGCCACTATGGACAGATATGTTGTGCGAAAGAAGTCCAGTGACTCTGAAGCTGGTCCTAGTGGCATTAAAAGAAGAAGGGAAGTAACCCCAGAAAAGGACTTGCTACCTCAAGTCCTAATGGAAGGGGATTCCCCTTCTAAACACTAACACTCTCTCTCCCCTCCTCCCATCCCATCAATCATCACCAGATCTTCAATAAAAGTAAGTGTCATGTAATTGTGCATGCCTTTTTCAGTTTGTGTGTACTAAAATTAACATTTTTTTGTGGTAAAAAAAATTTTTTTTCATACTTTTGGGTGTCTTGCACGGATTAATTTTATTTCCATTATTTCTTATGGGGAAAATTAATTCGCATAGCGAACATTTCGCATAACGACCAGCCCTCTTGCACGGATTAAGTTCGCTATGCGGGGGTCCACTGTAGGTTGGATAAATACATGAGTGGATGTGGGTGGGTGTGAGTTGGACCTGATAGCTTGTGCTACCAGGTCGGTTGCTGTGTTCCTCCCTTAAGTCAATGTGACCTGACCTGACTAGGTTGGGTGCATTGGCTTAAGCCGGTAGGATACTTGGACCTGCCTCGCATGGGCCAGTAGGCCTGCTGCAGTGTTCCTTCGTTCTTATGTTCTTATGTTAACAATGCATTTCAAATGACCCTCAAAGCCCCAATATCGTCACCCATCTGTAGAGTGCAAGCACTCTACTTCCCATCTCTGTACAGTATTTAGCATTTCTGTATTAATTTTTCCCTATTAATTTTTGTATGCTTTTCTGTCATAGAGAATGAGGAGTTTCGCACTTTGGAGTTGAGGTCCAAGAAGTTTGTGCGACAACCTGCCAGGGTAATGAAGTCACATAATGTTGTACCACCTAGGTGAGTTACATTGTTTAAACTACATACCCTTAATTTCAAGGTAATTATAATATTCTTCCATCATTGGCATCTGTGTTTGAGCTGAGAAAATTCTGCTGTATCAGATCAGTTTGTGGAGAAATAGATTCTGACTAAGGAATTCACTGACTCTTGAAATGCTAACTGACTCTATAAACCAGTATTTTCCTGTAATTCATTTTGAGGCCAGCTCTGTAATTTGCATCAGTAGTATTGATGAAGATGTGTCATTAAATTACAGTACCCTACTGTTGAAAAAGTTACTTTTTTCTCTAAACACTAGCTGTCTCCCATTAAGGTAGGGTGATCAACGAAAATGGGAACACTCTCACCATCACTCTTTCCAATGACTCTCCAAACTGAAATATTCCCACAGCTCTTTCAGAGTGCCGCCACTGTTTTCTCACCTTCAGTACTCATATCTGGCTAACTGGTTTCCCTGAATTCCTTCGTAAATGTTACTCTGCTCACATTCCAATAGTGTGTGAAGCCATCAGAACCACTTTTCTCCACTCTATCTTATCTAACATGCTCACACATGACTGTTGGATGCTGAAGCCCTTAGCCCTCAAAAACACTTTTACCCCATCCTCCCTCAAGCTCTTCCTGGAATCTCCCCAACCCCTCTTTCCATCCACCCCAGATTTCTGCACCGTCTTGGTCATCCTCTTCTGTTCCATTCTGTCTGTATGCTCAAACCTCAACGGCATGCGTAACAGAGATAAAACACCTCAATTACTGGGAGTGCTTGAAGTTCCTGAACCTGTACTCCCTGGAATGCAGGTGGGAGAGATACACGATTATATACACCTGGAAAATCCTAGAGGGACTAGTACCGAACTTGCACTCAAAAATCACTCGCTACAAAAGCAAAAGACTCAGCAAATGATGCAACATCCCCCCAACGAAAAGCAGGGGTGTCACTAACACGTTAAGAGATGACACAATAAGTGTCAGGGGCCCAAGACTGTTCAGCTGCCTCCCAGCATACATAAGGGGATTACCAATAGACCCCTGGCTGTCTTCAAGCAGGCACTGGACAAGCACCTAAGTCGGTACCTGACCAGCCAGGCTGTGGCTCGTACGTTGGATTGCATGCAGCCAGCAGTAACAGCCTGGTTGATCAGGCTCTGATCCACCAGAAAGCCTGGTCACAGACCAGGCCATGGGGGCATTGACCCCCGGAACTCTCTCCAGGTAAACTCCAGGTCAGCCTTCCAAATTATACCTTTGGTAACACACACACCATCTTCTAATCTCCCTACTCCACATTCTCTACATAATATTCACACCACACATTGCTCTCAGTTGTGACATCTATGAGGTCATTGGCATAAGGTTACCATTTACTGTAAATAGCACATTAAATTGGAATTGTTGTAAGAAAAAACAACCACAGCACATTCTAGGAATTTTCACATCACTTTTAAATCTAAATTTTGATGGTTGTTTAGTTTCACATAGGATGCAGATCCCTTGTGTGCATCCATTTGATCTGTGTTCAAACATGGAGACCACACCTACTGAAAACATGTTATCACTGTTAAAAGTTTTTATTTAATTTTAACAAAGTTGTGATGTGAATTTCATATAAAATTTTACCTTGAAATTGCAAATGGCTGGAATAAAGGGCAAACTGTTGGATTAGATGAAAATTTTTTTACATGAAAGGATCCTTCAAGGAGAAGTCTTGATGCTGGTAAAGGGGCTCTTGATCTGAGGAATTACACATACTCTCCCCTTCTCCAGATCATACCTAATTGCCTCCCATTGCCTAGGTACTGTATATCCCTTAGCTATGGGTTTAGCATTTTCCCCATAAATATAAAAATAATTTCATGAAAAGAATGTGAGAATTTGATTAGCAGAAAATTGCCATCATGAGGCCAGGCACCGGTGGGGTGCTGCAAGGCTTAGTGCTTGTTCCATTAGCTTTCAATTTATACAAGAATTTATTCAATTTATACAAGAATTTTGTAAGTACTGTACTATATATTTGCTGAAGATGCAATGGTTATCAGCAAAATAGAAAATTAAAATGACTTGAGAAGTTTATAGGAAGACTTAGACTGAAGAGATGAAGTAAAAAATGGATAATGGATTTCAGTATGGAAGCAGGTGTCATGTGATGGAAATGGATGAAAGTGTAAGCAGGCCCTATTTAAGTTAAGTAATGAAATTTTAAGAATATGTTATAGAACAGGTAGCTACAAATACTCTCACACAGGTCAAATGTATAGGTAATGCTTAACTAAATTTTTATTTTTTGCTACAGTACTTTTATATTTGTTATTGATTATTGATTAGTGTTGTCTTTATTTACAGACTTTTCTATTTAACAATAAATACAGTATGTTGATTAACTGTCTTAACTATTTTATTAATACATCTAAAGTTGTATTTATTTATAAAATAAATTTCAGGTATAAACGCCAAAAAGTTGATCAAGATTGGGGAAATGTGTGGCCTGCTGCTCGGACTTTTCATCCAGCATCTGTGCCTCTGCCAGTACGTCAGGGATACCCAGCATCAGGACAGGTCACGCCAGACAAATGGGGTAATGCAGAGCTCATGAAAATTCCAAATTTTCTGCACTTGACGCCTCCAGTTATTAAACGCCAGTGTGAAGCTCTGAAAAGTATGCATTAGATGTAAATTTTTGTACTTCTTATGGAAGGTCATTTACCTTTTTCATTTACATATATACAGGGTGTCCACAAAAACACTCCCTGATTTCAAACAGGTATAACATGTAACTTTATTGTGATAATCTTTCACAGTTAGTAGCTTCAGATGCAGGATTTCATTCAGTTTCATGTGGTATAGGGTAACATTAAAGGCATTCAATGTGCTTCCCTTTGGTTGCTCGGCAAACATCGATGCTATAGTCAAGTTCGGTCCAGACACTGCAGCATATCTGGTGTTATCATGCGAACTGTTTTAGTGATGGAAATTTTCAGCTCCTCCAGGGTTGCAGGTAGTGTTGGTACGTAAACTGTGCTCTTCACAAACAGTTAGGTCCAGTGACCTCTGCAAGTTCCTGCGAGGTCACATTGAGTGCCTTTAATGCTACCCTATACCACATGAAACTGAATGAAATCCTGCATCTGAAGCTACTAACTGTGAAAGATTATTACAATAAAGTGTCATTATTACAATAAAGTTACATGTTATACTACCTCTTTGAAATCAGGGAGTGTTTTTGTGGACACCCTGTACATATACAGTAATGTAATTTCTAAGATAACTAAACATGAAACATATTAAAATTTTATGTTAAAAGTTACTGCATTTGTTATTGAAATTAAAAATCAGAGGTATAACACATTCACATTTTGTCTGTTGTATGATTACTCTAGGTTTAACGCTTCCCCATAAATGTGACAATTACATTTTTTCTGCAGAATTTTGCACACCTTGGCCATCTGGGATTGAAACTGCAGCTGAACAGGAGAAATATTTTCCAGTGATGGTGTCAAAAAGTACCTACCTGCACTCTTCACCAACCCTAAGGGATCAAAAAGCCAGAATAGTCACTCTTAGGGTAATGTACCATCTTTTTTTTTTTTTTTAACAAGTCGGCCGTCTCCCACTGAGGCAGGGTGACCCAAAGAGAAAGAAAATCCCCAAAAAGAAAATACTTTCATCATCAATCAACACTTTCACCTCACTCACACATAATCACTGCTTTTGCAGAGGTGCCCAGAATACAATATATCTCTCCAAACTGCCAATATCCCAAACCCCTCCTTTAGAGTGCAGGCATTGTACTTCCCATTTCCAGGACTCAAGTCTGGCCATATAAAATAACCGGTTTCCCTGAATCCCTTCACTAAATATTACCCTGCTCACACTCCAACAGATCGTCAGGTCACAAATACAATTTGGCTCCATTCACTCCTATCTAACATGCTCACGCACGCTTGCTGGAAGTCCAAACCCCTCGCCCACAACACCTCCTTTACCTCCTCCCTCCAACCTTTTCGAGGATGACCCCTACCCCGCCTTCCTTCCCCTACAGATTTATACGCTCTCCATGTCATTCTACTTTGATCCATTCTCTCTAAATGACCAAACCACCTCAACAAAACCTCTTCAGCCCTCTGACTAATACTTTTATTAACTCCACACCACCTAATTTCCACATTCCGAATTTTCTGCATAATACTTACACCACACAGGAGGCCTGGTCACAGACCGGGCCGCGGGGGCGTTGACCCCCGGAACTCTCTCCAGGTAAACTCCAGGTAAACACATTGCTCTTAGACAGGACATCTCCACTGCCTCCAACTGCCTCCTGCTGCAGCATTTACAACCCAAGCTTGTCACCCATATGAGTGTTGGTACTACTATACTTTCATACATTACCTTCTTTGCCTCCATAGATAACATTTTTTGCCTCTACATATACATCAATGCACCACTCACCTTTTTTCCTTCATCAATTCTATGATTAACCTCATCCTTCATAAATCCATCCGCTGACACGTCAACTCCCAAATATCTGAAAACATTCACTTCTTCCATACTCCTCCCCAATGTGATATCCAATTTTTCTTTATTTAAATCATTTGATACTCTCATCACCTTACTCTTTTCTATGTTCACTTTCAACTTTCTACCCTTACACACATTCCCAAATTCGTCCACTAACCTTTGCAATTTTTCTTTAGAATCTCCCATAAGCACAGTATCATCAGCAAAAAGTAACTGTGTCACTTCCCATTTTGTATTTAATTCCCCATAATTTAATCCCACCCCTCTCCTGAACACCCTAGCATTTACTTCTTTTACAACCCCATCTATAAATATATTAAACAATCATGGTGACATTACACATCCCTGTCTAAGACCTTCTTTTACCGGGAAGTAGTCTCCCTCTCTTCTACACACCCTAGCCTGAGCCTCACTATCCTCATAAAAACTCTTTACAGCATTTAGTAACTTACCACCTATTCCATATACTTGCAACATCTGCCACATTGCTCCCCTATCCACTCCATCATATGCCTTTTCTAAATCCATAAATGCAATAAAAACTTCCCTACCTTTATCTAAATACTGCTCACATATATGCTTCAATGTAAACACTTGATCTACACATCCCATACCCACTCTAAAACCTCCTTGCTCATCCACAATTCTACATTCTGTCTTGCCTCTAATTCTTTCAATAATAACCCTACGGTACACTTTTCCTGGTATACTCGGTAAACTTATTCCTCTATAATTTTTACAATCTCTTTTGTCCCCCTTCCCTTTATATAAAGGGACTATACACGCTCTCCACCAATCCCTTGGTACCTTCCCCTCTTTCATACATTTATTAAACAAAAATACCAACCACTCCAACACTATGTACGCCCCCTGCTTTTAACATTTCTGTCATGATCCCGTCAGTTCCAGCTGCTTTACCCCCTTTCATTCTACGTAATGCCTCATGCACCTCCCCCACACTCACATCCTGCTCTTCTTCACTCCTAAAAGATGATATACCTCCCTGGCCAGTGCATGAAATTACCGCCTCCCTTTCTTCGTCGACATTTAAAAGTTCCCCAAAATATTCTCGCCATCTACCCAAAACCTCCATCTCCCCATCTACTAACTCCCCTTCTCTATCATCTGCTCTCCTTTTGCACTCTCTCACCACTCTCTTCACCTTTCTTTTACTCTCCATATACTCTATTCTTCTTATAGCACTTCTGCTTTGTAAATACCTCTCATAAGCTACCTTTTTCTCTTTTATCACACCCTTTACTTCATCATTCCACCAATCACTCCTCTTTCCTCCTGCACCCACCCTCCTATAACCACAAACTTCTGCCCCACATTCTAATACTGCATTTTTAAAACTATTCCAACCCTCTTCAACCCCCCCACTACTCATACCTTCACCAGCCCATCTTTCTGCCAATAGTTGCTTATATTTCACCCGAACTTCCTCCTCCCTTAGTTTATACACTTTCACCTCCCTCTTACTTGTTGTTGCCATTTTCCTCTTATCCCATCTACCTCTTACTCTAACTGTAGCTACAACTAGGTAATGATCCAATATATCAGTTGCCCCTCTATAAACGTGTACATCCTGGAGCCTACCCATCAACCTTTTATCCACCAATACATAATCTAACAAACTACTTTCATTACGTGCTACATCATACCTTGTATATTTATTTATCCTCTTTTTCATAAAATATGTATTACTTATTACTAAACCTCTTTCTACATATAGCTCAATTAAAGGCTCCCCATTTTCATTTACCCCTGGCACCCCAAATTTACCTACTACTCCCTCCACAACATTTTTTCCCACTTTAGCATTAAAATCCCCAACCACAAGTACTCTCACACTTGGTTCAAAACTCCCCACGCAATTACTCAACATTTCCCAATCTCTCTCTCTCTCTCTCTCCTCTATACTTCTCTCATTCCCAGGTCCATAAATGCTTACTATAACCCACTTCTCACATCCAACCTTTATTTTACTCCACATAATCCTTGAATTAATACATTTATAGTCCCTCTTTTCCTTCCATAGCTTATCCTTCAACATTATTGCTACTCCTTCTTTAGCTCTAACTCTATTAGAAACTCCTGACCTAATCCCATTTATTCCTCCCCACTGAAACTCGCCCACCCCCTTCAGCTTTGTTTCACTTAAAGTCAGGATATCCAGCTACTTCTCATTCATAACATCCACAATCATCTCTTTCTTATCATTCGCACGACATCCACGCACATTCAAACTTCCCACTTTGATAATTTTCTTCTTCTTATTCTTCTTAGTAATTTTTACAGGAAAAGGGGTTACTAGCCCATTGTTCCTGGCATTTTAGTTGACTTTTACAACACGCATGGCATACGGAGAAAAGATTCTTATTCCATTTCCCCATGGATATAAAAGGAAAAGTAATTAGAACAAGAAGTAAGATAAAATCAGAGAAAACTCAGATGAGTGTACATGTATGTTTAGTGTGACCTAAGTGTAAGTAGAAGTAGCAAGACGTACCTGTAATCTTGCATATTTATGAGACAGACAAAAGACACCAGCAATCCTACCATCATGTAAAACAATTACAGGCTTTCGTTTTACACTCACTTGGCAGAACGGTATTACCTCCCTGGGTGGTTGCTGTCTACCAACCTACTACCATTATATACATATATTCCTTTGAGGCAGAGGTTCCTTGATGCTGGTGAAGAGTTTTTTAGCAAAAGAATTGGTGCTGCTCTTCCTTTCCTTGGATCAAACCTGATTGCCTCCCATACTACATTCATTTTATGACCCTTATAGGTGCGGCATCAGCCAGGGTTTGGTGGCTATGTGGGCCTGTAGATCACTAGCACCAACAGCCTGGTTAAATAGTGAGCAAGGAAGCCTGGCCTCAGGCTGAGCTGCAGGGGTAGAAAATTGAGTGGTCACAGGTAAAACACAGGTTAGTACTACTTTAATTAATATAATATTCTCAGGATTTTATAGTTATGTTACATTTGAAGATGTTAGTATAAGGGTGTATAAAGCATTGGTATTGGTGGGTAACAGCTAGGTTTGAAGTTATTGAAAGCAGTCTGAAATTGAGCATGAGGATTGGTTAGTATCTGCCTGCTATAGAGTATTGGTATCAGCAAAAAGTTTGGTATATTCTCATCCCTAATTAGTAGACATTTTCAAGGAAAAGTACTGAAGCCTGTTTGTGAGATCTTTGTTGCTTCAGTGTAACAGATTGTGGAGTTAGTGAGGCTCTGTAATTTGTACAGTTAATGGTAATTCTAAGAGGCTATCTATGTAGAAAAGATTGGTTTTGTTATACATACAGTATGCTCCCATCAACATGCTTTATATTCATTTACACATTGTAACATATGCAAAGAAATAAAATTGTTTATTGTTTTTATTGTTTTTGTAGGGCCCCACTTATACAGCAAGTTAAGTTCCAGGCTAGTGACATAAAGCAAAGCGCTGTAAAGCGGGGGCCCTCCTGTATGAAACCTGGTTCGTTTCAGAGTTGTACCTTAATGCTAATGAAAAGCTTTTGATCTAAGGAATTTAAACAGCCCTCCCCTTCCTTGGATCATTCCTAATTGCCTCCCATTTCCCAGGTGATGTATAACCTTTATGGGTTTAGTGCTTGGTGAATATAACAGTTACCAATAGGGCTTGGCAAGTTTTCTCTTGTAAGAACTAAAGCAAAAGCATAACACCAGAGGCAATTCCAGCAGGTGGACAGTAAGGGAGGTGAAGTATGTGATGACAGTTAAGAGTGATGGAGCAAGACAGTGAGAGAGTATGGTTATATTTTCAAATTGTGGTATTTAGGCCAGTTTTTCAGAGAGGTGTGTATCTGTGCTCCATGGGGAAGTGGAACAGAATTCTTCCTCCGTAAGCCGCGCGTGTTGTAAAAGGTGACTAAAATGCCGGGAGCAAGGGACTAGTAACCCCTTCTCCTGTATAAATTACTAAAGTTAAAAAGATAAATTTTTGTTTTCCTTTTTGGGCCACCCTGCTTCGGTGGGATACGGCCTGTTTGTTGAAAAAAGAAGTGTATTTGTATGGAATGACACAAGTGCATTCACTTAGGACATCTGTATTGGATACTTTTTCATCCTGGGACCTTATTCTTTTCAAATTCAAATTTTTTTCTTTTACGCAGTGCACAGAAAATGCAGTTTATGTGTAATAAAATATTGTTAGGCACAAAAGAAAGCCACTAGTATGCTGTGCATTTCGGGCAATGAGAAACAGTGAATGCAACTGAGAATTCAAGTCATTGGAGGAGAAGATCAGGTGAAGACATTCGGTCATTTAATTGTCATGTCATGTGGCAGCAGGTAATTAACGTGGCATATAATCATGCATATGAGAGTATTTGAGGTGATGTATTTGCCAGTTCTTTGTTTTAGGGTGTTGGAAGTAGCAATTAAGGATGCTTCAGTACAGAAGCACCTATCCCAGTTGGAGTCTGTAGGTCATTTCTCTTTTGTTCCATCATATGAGATGACCTTGAGAGCTGTGTAGATTTGGATTGCTGGTGGAGTTATTATTTTTCCAGCTAACAATTATAATTTTAGCTCACTTTTTTTTTCTTTTAGTAAATCTTGCCTCAATTCTCATTCATATGAAAGGCTTATAAATATTGTTACTCTTGCCTTATTCCTTTAATCTGTAATCACCACTTATTGTACATCAGGCAGGTAATATTTATGATGATAAATGGTTCAGAGAACCAACAAATTGATGAATTAGACATGTGTGAAACACTTGGGTATCTTTATCGAGGAAATGTTTCACCACTGATTACCTCAAGCTCATTCTGATCTTCACCATTCTTTTTTGTTTTTTGTTTAGGACTGATGAAGCCACTGCATGGTGAAGCGTTTTCTCAATAAAGATACCCAAGTGTTGCATTTATCTAATTCATCAATATTTAGACGATATATGTATAATTTAATAAACGAGTGAATAGTTATACAGTGGACCCCCGCATAGCGAACGCCTTGCATAGCGAACAATCCGCATAGCGAACGCTTTGTTCGCCAAAATTTTGCCCCGCATAGTGGACAAAAACCCGCTCAGCGACCTTCGTCCGAGACGCGTCCATTGTTTACCAGCCAGCCTCCGCGGTAACATTCAAGCATACACTCGGAATATTTCGTATTATTACAGTGTTTTCGGTGCTGTTTCTGGAAAATAAGTGACCATGGGCCCCAAGAAAGCTTCTAGTGCCAACCCTGTGGTAAAAAGGGTGAGAATTAGTATGGAAATTAAGAAAGATTTTGAAGGGTTTGGGGGCTAACCCTGAGAAGCCTATGCCAGTTGTGGAATCCATTGTGCCTACTTCAAAAATTAAGGAAATGTGTGCACAGTGGGTTGAACTGCAAACCTTTATGGATGAAAATCACCCTGACACAGCTGTTGCAAGCCGTGCTGGTGACTATTTCAATGACAATGTTATGGCCCATTTTAGACAAATCGTAAAGGAACGGGAGGTACAGAGCTCTATGGACAGATTTGTTGTGCGACAGAGGTCCAGTGACTCTGAAGCTGGTCCTAGTGGCATTAAAAGAAGAAGGGAAGTAACCCCGGAAAAGGACTTGCTACCTCAAGTCCTAATGGAAGGGGATTCCCCTTCTAAACACTAACACTCTCTCTCCCCTCCTCCCATCCCATCAATCATCACCAGATCTTCAATAAAAGTAAGTGTCATGTAATTGTGCATGCCTTTTTCAGTTTGTGTGTACTAAAATTAACATTTTTTTGTGGTAAAAAAAAATTTTTTTCATACTTTTGGGTGTCTTGCACGGATTAATTTTATTTCCATTATTTCTTATGGGGAAAATTAATTCGCATAGCGAACATTTCGCATAACGACCAGCCCTCTTGCACGGATTAAGTTCGCTATGCGGGGGTCCACTGTATAATGAAAAAAATATCTTAACCTTTTTATCCTCATTACCTTCCAGGTATCTCTGAAGAGCCTTGATCTTGACGACCATGGACGAGACAAGCTACTTAGGTTGGTGAAAAATAGACATGACCCCACCACTGACTGTCTCACCATAGTAGCTGATCGTTGTCCCCTCTCTCAGCAGAACTATGACTACTGCTTCTATCTTCTAACTGTTTTGTATAATGAATCAATGGTTAGTAGTGAATTTGGTTATTTAATGGGACTTGGCAACACAAATTTGTAGCAAGTTTTCCCTTTCCTTCAAGGTTTCTTAATGCTGGTGAAGACTTGATCCAGTGAATGAGAGATATCCTCTATTTTTTTTATCAAACTTCATTACCTCTTGATGAAGATTTAGACACATGTGCAACATCTGGGTATGTTTATTGTAGACGTTTCGCCATCCAGTAGTTTTATCAATACAGACTCTAGGACATAATTTGAAGACAGTAGAACTATATACAAAAGATGAGGTAATCAGTCCCTCAGCCTTGGAGTTGGTGTGAAGAGCACTAGTCGTGTAGATTCTGGAGCAGAGGCAAGGAGGTTGGCGCTTATATGCTTATTGTCAGGTGGAAAGGGGACGGGTAGCAGTTGAGGGCATAGTGACTGGTAATAGTTGTAGTAGCCGTGAAGAAAGTCATGTAGATGTCCTCTGAACCAAGATTCCATGTACATGACATCTACACTGTAGCAGGCCAGTAGGCCTGCTGCAGTGCTCCTTCTTTCTTATGTTCTTAAATTAAGTGCTAAACCCAAAAGGATTATACAGTGCTACAGGGAAGAATGTGCTAAAGGAGGAATATATGAAGGCTGGGAGAGAGTGAGGGGTAGGAGTGTACAGGGGTATTGTTAAGTAGGAGTAGGGGAAAGTGCAAGAGTGACTTGCACATGTGTAGTGGGACTTGCACGTGAATAGTGGGACTTGCACGTGAATAGTGAAACTTGCACATGAGCTTATTGTTAGGGTAGAACTGAAGTGGGTTGGGCAAATATTCCATTAGTGGGTTGAATTTGTGAAGGACCTGCCCAGTATGGGCCAACAGGCCTACTGCAGTGTTCCTCCTTTCTTATGTTCTTATGAACCCTTTATAGTGCAGTATCAGCTTGTCCTCCTCCTACTCCCACCTTGCATCTGGGTTCCCGTTCTCTATTTCTGACCAAGGTGCACTAAGTTAGATTCTGTTAAAAAGTTAGAGTCTGCATCAAAGGTAGGATTTTCAGCAAGAAGGTAGTAACAGTAACTGTGTTGGAACAGTGGAGATGTCAGAACTGAACGTGTGTGCCTGCTGATACACAGGACAATCTGTTAAAATATGGAATCGATAAATCAACCTAATAGTCCTTGCAGAGTGGTGCTGGGCATCTGAGAGTGAGACTTATGGTCAATACTTAGATGAAAGAGTGCAGTCTTCCAAACATGACAGCGGTGGGGGAGAGGACGTTCAGAAACCCATTTGTGGTTTGACAGACATTTGGGTTAATTGGAGAGGTCAGCACATGGGACTTGCACATGAGTTAGTGGATTTACCAGAGCTTATTGTTAGGGTAGAACTAAAGTGGGCTGGATTTGTGAAGGACCTGCCCAGTATGGGGCAACAGGCCTACTGCAGTGTTCCTCCATTCTTATGTTCTTGGGTAAGTATACTAAGCTTCTGTACTCAAGACAATCATGCTCTGTGCCTGTGTCTTGTAAGCATGACATGTGCAAGTTTGATATCTTTAACATCTCATCATTGAAGATATGTACTAAACTGTAATACATGTCTTATTCATCTACTTGCTGCTACTATTGTATATCATTATAATGACACCTGTCTCTCTTCTTCACTAGTTGATGGTGCACTATTGCAAATTCTTTTGTTGCAACTTTTAAGTCATAATCCCTGGGATCGTGATACTATCAGAATAAAATTCATTAGGTATAGATTTTAGTCTTTAAATTATATTTTGTTATTTTTTCCATAGTTATCCTAAATTACTGATTTTTTTTTTCAGAAAACAGAACCTTGGGAACATGAGAAGGAAGTAGCCGACCGTGAACGATACATATGGGAAGGAAGTCCTTCACAAGCAGCACTTCAAGCAATAATTGATTCTAACGAGGATTCATCGCCTGAGGAAGTCATCGAAGAATATAAAAAAGTTGTCACTGACCTGCATAATGAAGGTTAGCATAAAGAATAAAAAGGCACATTGCTGCAACTGAAGCAAATTCACAAACGCCCACACTTAGGAAAGGAAACGATTTATGATATTTTGGGTCATCCTGGACCATTGTTACATCACAATTGAGTGAGAAAACATTGAGAAGGTCAGAAGACAGGGTAGAAAGGGAAAGTGTTGGTTGTAGGGTGAATGTATCAGTACAGTGGACCCCCGCTTAACGATCACCTCCAAATGCGACCAATTATGTAAGTGCGTTTGTACGTGTATGTTTGGGGGTCTGAAATGGACTAATCTACTTCACAATATTCCTTATGGGAAAAAATTCGGTCAGTACTGGCACCTGAACATACTACTGGAATGAAAAAAGTTTCGTTAACCGGGGGTCCACTGTACATTTAAAAAAATTAGAAAGAAGCGTTAGGATTTATTTTAAATGTTTCAGGAGCACTGTAGCAGGCCTGTTGGCCTATGCTAGGCAGGTCCTCAAATCCAACCCTTCTCACTCATTTGTCCACTTCTTTCTCGCCTTCGTAAATCCATCTGCCGATACTTCCACTCACAAATATCTCGATACAGTCACCTCCTCCATTTTTTTTTTCTCAACAAGTCGGCCGTCTCCCACCAAGGCAGGGTGACCCAAAAAGAAAGAAAATCCCCAAAAAGAAAATACTTTGATCATCATTCAACACTTTCACCTCACTCACACATAATCACTTTTTGCAGAGGTCCCCAGAATACAACAGTTTAGAAGTATATTTTTTTTTTTTTTTTTTTTTCAACAAGTCGGCCGTCTCCCACCGAGGCAGGGTGACCCAAAAAAGAAAGAAAATCCCCAAAAAGAAAATACTTTCATCATCATTCAACACTTTCACCACACTCGCACATTATCACTGTTTTTGCAGAGGTGCTCAGAATACAACAGTCTAGAAGCATACACATATAAAGATACACAACATATCCCTCCACACTGCCAATATCCCAAACCCCTCCTTTAAAGTGCAGGCATTGTACTTCCCATTTCCAGGACTCAAGTCCGACTATATGAAAATAACCGGTTTCCCTGAATCCCTTCACTAAATATTACCCTGCTCACACTCCAACAGATCGTCAGGTCCCAAGTACCATTCGTCTCCATTCACTCCTATCTAACACGCTCACGCACGCTTGCTGGAAGTTCAAGCCCCTTGCCCACAAAACCACCTTTACCCCCTCCCTCCAACCTTTTCGAGGACGACCCTTACCCCGCCTTCCTTCCCCTACAGATTTATACGCTCTCCATGTCATTCTACTTTGATCCATTCTCTCTAAATGACCAAACCACCTCAACAACCCCTCTTCAGCCCTCTGACTAATACTTTTATTAACTCCACACCTTCTCCTAATTTCCACACTCCGAATTTTCTTCATAATATTTACACCACACATTGCCCTTAGACAGGACATCTCCACTGCCTCCTCGCTGCAGCATTTACAACCCAAGCTTCACACCCATATAAGAGCGTTGGTACTACTATACTTTCATACATTCCCTTCTTTGCCTCCATAGACAACATTTTTTGCCTCTACATATACCTCAATGCACCACTCGCCTTTTTTCCTTCATCAATTCTATGATTAACCTCATCCTTCATAAATCCATCCGCTGACACGTCAACTCCCAAATATCTGAAAACATTCACTTCTTCCATACTCCTCCTCCCCAATTTGATATCCGATTTTTCTTTATCTAAATCATTTGATATTCTCATCACCTTACTCTTTTCTACCTTTCAAAATGATATTCAGTTTTTGATTGCCTATACCTTGTTACTCTCATCACCTTGCTCTTTCCTATGCTCACTTTTTATTTCTTCTTTTTACATACCATCCCAAATTCTTCCACGAGCCTTTACAGCTTTCCTTCAGAGTCTCCCAGAAGAATTACATCATCAAAATACGATACAAAGTGGGAGTTATCTTTTAATCCCAAACCTCTTCACAACACCCTAGCATTTACTTGTTTTTACAACCCCATCTATACATCCCTGTCTAAGACTTACTTTTACTGGAAATAGTACACCCCCTGCACATACCCTAACCTGAGCCTTACTTTGTTCATACGTTGGTTTACGTGCTGCCAGCAGTAACAGCCTGGTTGATCAGACCCTGATCCACCACAAGGCCTGGTCTCAGACTAAGCCACTGGGGCATTGACCCCTGAAACTCTCTCCAGGTATACTCTGGGTATCTCCTGCCAAAACAGGGATAACCCAAAGAAAACACACTCACTCAATTGCAGTTTTTCCAGAAGTGTGCAGATGTCATACAGTAATCAGGTTACCCTCCAACTGCATAATAAAGATATTAAATTACCCACCAATTGCAGCATCCTCACTCTGCTCTCAGTCTAGGTCCTACCCTTTCCAGTATTCAAGTCCAGCTAACCAGTGTTCCTGAATCCCTTCATGAAAGAACTTTCCTCACATTTCAACAGTATATCCATTAAATACCACTTCTCCACTAACTCCTGTCTAACACAAATCTGCAGGATGCTCAAGCCATTAAAACAAAGCTTCTTGTATCCCTTCCCTCTTAACCATTCCTGGGATGACCCCTTCCCAGATTTATACACCCTCTTCATCAATATATCCCTGTCTTTACTCTCTAATTGCCTTACCCTCTATGTAAAGACTTTATATACTGCTTTTAGTAGCCTACTGTACATATTCCTCACATATCTACCCTTTAAACATTTATTACATTTTTTATATTTAATTTCAACTTTATTGATTTTCTCTGTTTTGGTATACCATAATTTATATTACTCTTAAGCCTTTATACATGTCCAACATACTAATACACAGGTGATGTACTAGTACACACAATTTTTCATGCCTCCAAATATGCCACCAGCCAATATTTCTGAACTCGACTCTTCTGTTTGAATCATCTTCTACCTCTTCATGCCAACACTGTGGAACTGCCAGGAAGACACGTTATCCATTCCAATTTTATTAAAATTTTCATGATACTAGCAGTATTCTCAGTGTGAATGCCTTCCATGTTTCCAGGAGTATTACACCTTGAAAAATTAATACAATATTTCCTTATAAATACATGTTTTACAGTGGTCTGGAAGGCACGCACATGTTATGGAGACAATTTACATTGTTTGTATAATTCAAGAAATTCCCCTCAAACCTAAATATATAAAACAAATAATTAACCTAGGTTCCAGGGGAAGTGAAGGAGAGTTCTTCCTCCATAAGCCATGCATGTCATAAGAAGGGACTAAAATGCCAGGAGCAAGGGGCTAATAACCCCTTCTGTATAAATTACAGGCTGTCCCCCCCCCCACCCTGCCTCGATGGGAGACAGGCTGTTATCCTAGGAAAACCCAACATAGTCAAACAGCATGACTTATTTCCATGGTTTGAGGAGTATTACACCTTAAAATTATTGTAATATAGGTAGTCCTTGTACATAGTTTTAGAAGAACAGCAGTATAGAAAAAATTATTGGCTCTAATTTATACTGTACATTCTATGTGGATCAATATCAGGCTATACATTTCTCCCTGTGGTTGAAGTAATAAAACACCTTGAAACACATCTGATATTAGTTACATAATGTTACACATTAAAAATAAACTGAAAACAATTATTTTGCTTCACTAAATTGTAAAATTTAAACATTGCTGGTGTATTTGTGCCACTGTTGCTGATGAGTGATCATTTTTTTCACCAACTTTAACATAAAATGAAATAAGTTTTATTAGATTCAGACTTTTTTACTTTGCTTCCTAAAAATGCAATCTTTCAATCTAAGAAAAAAAAATTTTTTAACTCAAAATCTTGCCATCCCAACACACACGAATTTTAATTTCTGGGTATGCCACAATTAAGGGAGGAGTGGGGGGTTAACATTACGTTTTAATGCTTGGTGGTGAAAATGTTTATAATCTCTCTCGGATCATGCAGTGTACTTTTCTTGTCAATGTTAATCTTTTTAAAAGGAAAAAATTATTGAAACCCTTCCCTTATTTTGTGCCAGTCTTGTAGAATTATCTTATTAAAACCGAACAACAAATTGTAGCTATACTGAATTTGCACTGCTGGACCTTTTGTGTGTGTTCACATTAAGTTTTTTTCTAATTTCTAATAGACGATTCAGGTTATGACAACTAACATGAATTATGTAGAATGACTAACTTGTATTTGTATTTCAACAGGTGAAGATGAGCCAACTCTCTCAAGATATCGAGATTCAGTTATGAAGTTGGTTGGATTGGCATAAATCCATTAGTTGGAGTTTCTTTGAAAATAAAATTTGTGGTTTGCTAAAAATAATATTGTAGAGAGAAACTGTACATTTACACATTCAGTTTAAGTCTAGTTAAAGCACATTGTATAGTTGCATATCTGAAGGTGGTTAAATTTGTTCAGTTTTGTAACAATTATAACTAAAACAATTACATTTGTTTCATTGAATCAGAATGTTCTATTATTTTTGTATTATGGTGAAGATGTTTGTGTGTGTAGTAGTAGTAGTAGTAGTAATATGCATTTAAATTTATCCTAGCTTTAACTATTTAGGTGCAAAGTTGTCTGTCTGGGTGCAATTTTTGCATTGGTAATTTTGACAGTTTTGAGCCAGTTCCAATGCTCTGTTTTCTAGCTGTTTCACTAGTATGCCTTCTATTCTATTAACTGAGCACAAGAAACTGCCTATTCAATTATCAGAGCTCCCTATAATGTGCACAGAAGTCAGTAATTTGGTCAGTTTTGCACAAAGTTCAAAAACTTGCATTTTAACACCATATCAAATAAACATTGTATTTATGTTGGTAGAATTACAGACAATATGTTAAGTGAAAGGACAGGTGGAACTAATGCGACATTTTATTGTGGCATTAGTTACACTTGTGTCCTTATACTTAAATATTGTAGGTATTCCAGTAACTAAAGCAACCTTTTCTATGTTCATTAATCATGTCTTCAGGTCTCCTATATAACACTTGCTTCCATTTTGAATTTATTACAAAAAATTGGAAGTTTACTCTATATTGTGAATAATAAGGTATAACCAAGAATGATTGGCCATGGCTTAGGCTGTCCCAATTGAAAAACCCTTAAAATAGACTGAGGATGCTAGGGGTTATCCCACCCACAAGAGATGCTCCATTGATCCTCCTCAATAAAATTGCTAAAAATCAAACATTTCCACCACTTGGATGCTGTATAGTCCTTGTGGCTTAGCGCTTCTTTTTGATTATAATAATAATAATCCACCACTTGGAGGCCTATTTCGATCTACTTCTGGTCTGAAATCTTCTCTCATTAGTATATCTTCCATTCAGTCAACTGGTGCCAAGATTATTATTATTATAATCAAAAAGAAGCGCTAAGCCACAAGGACTATACAGCACTGGTGCCAAGAAATAGCCAATAAAACCATAAAGAAAAACTAAAATAGTGGATTTGAGGAGTTTTCTAAACCAAACAAGATCAAAGGTTTGCTTTTCCCATCATGTATTGCATGGGGAAGGATTTTTTTTGTTTACTGTGAACAGTGGAGGCTAATGTCTGTTGTTTTTGTAACTAGTGGGACGATGGACCCCCGTGTCCAAGCTCCCCATCCATAGATGAAAAGGCCTCGGGATAGGGCTTCTTTCAGTTCTTGTAACACAGAGTTTCCATGAGTCTGGCCCTGGAGTGCAAGTGCAATGGGCATGTCATTATCGCCTGTTCGAAGTCATTTGGCGTCAGGATAACATCGGAAAGCGCTTGTGTTAATCAATTTTGCTGGCTCTCATCAAAAAAATTTCATTTTGATCCTTCGACTCTCCTCTGGTAGCGCTTGCTAAAAACTGAGTCATATTGGGACTTGAGTATCTCACTCATTTCCTTGCTGTCATCTGTGTATGACCCAACTGTATAAGTAGGGGCCCAATACTGGACGTTGTTCTCGATTTTGATTTGGCATAGGAGAAGAAATACTTTGGGTTTTCTTTCGATTTCATTTATGGCTTTTAGTTCTTCCCGCTGAAAAATTCTCATACTGAACTCCTAAAGGATTCTTTTAGCTTAAGTTCGAAGCTTGTCTATTCTCTGACCAGTGTCTCCCTACGCATTTTCAGATATATTGACCTCCTTTTAGCCGCTCTGTTAATTCATTTTTCCGTTGCAAGTAAAGAGCGCCTACTCTTCTGTTTTACATCTACTCCTTTTTCCTAGAGTAATAAGCCTTGTGCATACATCGAGTGCCAACCGAGTAATCTGTTCTTAGGCATAAGTTGGGTCGGTGTTTAGCTTAGTATATCTACTCCCAGCTTATATCGGTTAGGACTTGTTTACTTGGTCCCACTTTATGTTTTTTTGTTATTGTGAAGTTGAATTTGGTGAATGCTCCCTCGTGACTAATCTACCATTATGTCGTTCTGGGGCTCCGCGCATAGCATGAAACCTCAATTAATGTTGTGATCTGAAGTATTTTGTTTATTTGATATGGTGACATTTCTTATCAGATCATCATTGTTAGTGAAGATGAGGTCCCTAGATGTATATCTCCCAGTCTAGTAGGCTCTTATTATTTGCTAGGTTTAAATTGAATTTTATGCAGAGATTTAAAAGCCGCGTGAGTTAGAGTTATCACAGAGCAGCCTACCTGGTGTTTATTACTGCAACAATATTATTTGCTATATTCCCTCCATTTTAGGGCCTTAAGTTGAAATCCCCCAGAGCAAGATGTTGGTGCAGAACCTGGAAGATTTTTCCAGACCAGAGGTCAATTTTTACCGCGTTCTGAATTGCTGGGATGTTGCATCCGGAGCTTGTAGACTACCACAATGACTAGGTTTGGTTCTCGACCTTTACTGCTAAAAGTATCCACTAACATCATTTGAGCAATTTAGCAGTCCTTGTGCAAACAGTGACTCTGCAATGTACAGGCCAATCCCCAACCCCACCCTTTTGCCTGTTCACTCTGTCAACATCTGTATAGTTGTCAACCTGGGATCCATATTTTCGTTGTCCCAAGTGATCCATTAGTGGTCTCAGTGAAAGCCTGCGAACCTTGCCTTTGCCTCTGCAAGCATCCACGGAATGACAGAGTATTTTGTTGTTGTTGCTGGGCTTTAGACCCTGTAAATTTGCCAAGAAAATGTTACCGACTGGTGTATTGTGGTACTCTGGGGGGGGGGGATTTTTTTCCGGCATTAGTATCTTAATCTGTTGGTTTGGGAGTGTGAGGCCAACGACTGTGGTTCCACTCCATATATATAAATATATAATATATATAAATATATATGAAAAAAATATATATATATATATATATATATAAAATATAATATATAATATTATAGAAAGAGATGTATAAATAACTAAACAAGAAATGATTACTGGACGAAATGTTCAGTAGTTTTGTTGAGATTATGTATTGGTAGATAAAAGACTGTTATTAGACTTCAGGATGGTACATGTTTAATAGAGGGGCCACAGTATAAAGTCAGATCACTTTCTAGTTTGTACTACACTGAGCGTAAAAGGTAGATGGATACAATGAGAATAGAAGCCTCAGGGAAGAGAGAGGTGAAGGTTTATAAACTAAAAGAGGAGGCAGTTAGTAAGATATAAACACTAATAGAGGATAGATGGGCTAATGAGCAGCATAGGCAATGGGGTCGAAGAGGTAATGGGGGGTATGTTTAAAAATGTAGTTTAGAGTGTTCACAAAGTTTGTGGAGTAACAGGAAAGAGGGTGCAGGAGTGAAGAGGAGCGGATTGGTGGAATGATGAAGTAAAGAGAGTAGTAAGGGAGAAAAATAGCTAGGAGAAGTTTTTACAAAGTAGAAGTGTGCATAGGAGAATAGTATATGAGAAAAAGAGAAGGTTAATAAGAGTGGTGCAGCAAAGATAAAAAGAAGCAAATGAGATAGTGGGTGGTAGATGTAATCAACAATTTTTGTTTGAAATAAGAAAAAGTTTTTGGAGTGGAGATTAACAAGTTAAGAAAGGCCTAGAGACAAATGGAGGAGGAGAGTTAATTAGAATGGAGAGTTTAGAGGTATTGAAGATGGAGGGAATATTTTGAGGATTGTTAAATGTTGATGACAGATAGGAAGCTGTGATTCCCGTGTATAGGGCAAGGAGGATAACAACTTGTAGGAGAGAGGAAGAGCCAGTTGTGAGTGTGGGGGAAGTTCGTGTGCAGTAGTAAAATGAAGGGGGTAAGGCAGCCGGGATTGATGGGATAAAGCTAGAAATGATAATAAGCAGTGGGGATACAGTTTTGGAGTGGTTGGTGCAATTATTTAATAAATGTGTGGAAGAGGGTAAGGTACCTAGGGATTGGCAGAGAGCATGCATAGTTCCTTTGTATAAAGAATCACACACAAAGTGGGAGTTGTCACAGCTGCTCTTTGCTGATGACACTTGGGAGATTCTGAAGAGAAGTTTGCCAGAGATTTGGTGTGATGAATTTGTAGGTGTGCAAAAGAAGAAAATTAAAGGGGGGTGGGAAATACAGAAGAGTAAGGTTATGAGGATAACAAAAAGATTAGTGATGAAAAGATTGAATATCAGATTGGAAGGGAGAGAGCAATGGAGGAGGTGAACGTGTATTCAGATATTTGGGAGTGGACGTGTCAGCGATGGGGGTCCTAAGAAATGATGGAGGAGAATCATAGAATTTGATGAGTGAAAAAGAGTGAGTGGTAGCACTTAGGGTCTGTGGGGAACAAAGACTTGTCCTTGGAGGCAAAGAGGGAATGTATGAGAGTAAAGTTTTACCAACGCATCTTATAAGGGTGATGAAAGCGTGGGTCGAGATGAATTTGCAGCGAGGAAAGGCTGAGGCAGTGGAGATGTCCATGTTCTGAAGGGCCAAATGTGTGGTGTGAATATAATTCTGAGATTCGTAGTTAGGAAGTTAGGAGAGGTTCGGATTACCAAAACTGTTGTCCAGAGGGCTGAGGAAGGGTTGTTGAGGTGGTTCGGACATGTAGATAGAATGAGCGAAACAGCATGACGTCAAGATGTATAAGTCTGTATTGAAGGAAGACGGGGTAGGGGTCGCCCATAGGAAAGGTTGGAGGGAAGGGGTAAAAAGGCGGTTTTTGTGTGCGCGGGGCTTTGGACTTCCAGCATGCATTGCGTGAGCGAGTATTTTCTATAGGAGTGAATGGATACAAAAGATTTTAAATACTTGACGTGCTTTTGGCAGGTGTGATCAAAGTAACATTATGAACGGCATTCCGGGAAACCGGCAGGGCCGGACTTGAGTCCTGGAGATGGGAAGTACAGTGCCTGCACTCAGAAGGAGGGAGTTTAATGTTGCAGTTTAAAAAACGTAGTTGTAAAGCACCCTTCAGGCAAGACAGTGATGGAGTGAATGATTGGTGAAAGTTTTTCTTTTATCGGGCCACCCTGCCTGTTGGGAAATCGGCCATATGAGTAATAAAATAATATAAAAAAT